GCCCCAAACTCCTGGGCTCTAGCAGTCCTCCTGTCTCAGCTTCCCAAGCAGCTGAGACTACAGGCAGGTACCACTATGCCCATCTATAACTCAGAAATTATGATTTTTATTATAGTACCTTGTTATGATTGTTCTATTTTATTAGTTATTGATTGCTATTGTTAATCTCTTAATGTGCCTAGTATGCACAGATAGCTGCAGGGCTGCCCACGGTCCCAGGCACAGGCAGGACACTTGGGAACACAGGGGGACAAAGGGAGACTGCTGTACAGAACAGGTCTCCTCCCTGTTTCATGTATTACTGGGACGTGGCCGTTTAGTCCCAGGTGGGAGTGACGGGCCCTGAAGTGGAGCCCTGGGCTTCTCCTCAGACTAGGCTGTCCCCGGGGGACAGAGTGACGTGGATGGCCCTGGGTGCCGGGAGTCAGAGTGAGTCAGGCACAGCGGATGTCTTGAGTCCTTCAGAGAACAGGGGAGGGGGGCTTTTCCACAGAATCAGCTCTGTGAATTAAGCAAGCAGAGCCACGTGCAGAGGACACAGAGGTGTATCTGTCAATCGTCTGACAGCGGTGCTCGGTAGCCCCTGGCCTGTAGCTCGTGGGCTCACTGCTCTAAGTGCTTGTTTTGGGTTCAGGTGTCTGAGGCTGCCCAAGGAGCCCTCCCGGTTCCAGTGGGCCCTGGTGGGACTGGCTTCTAGGCACAGGTTGGTCTGGGGTCTGTCCTTTCTCTTTTCTTCTGAAACCAAGGGCTATGCAGGGCCAGCTCTGCTTGTGGCAATGGCAGAAGCACATGGGGACAGACTGTGCTGCCAAGGCCGTATCAAGGCTTTGTGTAAGTCCTGTCTCCAAACATCTCACCGGCCAGAGCAAGTCACAGAGCAGAGCCCAGAACAAAGGCATCTGGAGGCAGGTGTTGGGACTCATACAGCCTGCAGGTACATGCCCTCCGGGTTGGGGAGCTGAACAGACAGGGGGCAGCCAGAATAACTGATAGAAAATCACTTTTTAAAAGGTCAAGGAGAAGCCCTGTGTGGTGGTACATACCGTGATGTCAGTAGTCCGGGAGGCTGAGGCAGGAGGATCACAATTTTAAGTCCAGCCTAGGGAATTATGCAAGACCTTGTCTCAAAATACAAATAAAAAAAGGCTGGAGATGTAACTCAGCACAAAGACCACGGGATAATCCCCAAGTGGGCAGGGCTGCTGGTCCACTCTTCCCACAGTGGGAGCCAGTGGGAGTGAAGGAAGTAACTATTTGCCTAGCAATAACCCAAACCTCGCAGCAGGCTTCCCAGAGGAGGTGTCATTGGATGTTGGTCTTGCAGGAGAAGTGGGATTTTGCCCAGTGAGGGTGGGAAAGGATGGGCACTGCTGTCAAAGGCACAGAGTATAAAGATGTGTGGGGCCGGGTCCCCTGATACACTTCAGTGTTCTTTTTTTTTCTGAGACAGGGTCTTGCTGGGTAGTTAAGGCTGGCCTTGGGCTCACTATGTAGCCTTGGCTGACCTCAAACTCGAAGCACTCCTGTCTCAGCCTCCCAAGTGTTGGGATTACAGTTGTGGGCTACCATGCCCGGCTATACGCATTTTCTTTATTTCCAAATTCTAAAATATCCACTACGTGTCATCAAGCACAAAGCCAAAAGCTACATTTTTCACACGTGACTGCACTGGGAAGTGGGGTCGGTGTATGCACCAGTCTTGGGGGCACACACCCGCCAGCTTCACAGCTCACTTGCCCCTGGTGCGAGTGGCTGAGCCCTGCCGGGAGACTGCAGGGTGACAAGCCAAAGCCCTGAGGCAGAGGGCAAATAGCTCCAGAATGGGCGAGCAGGCAGCGAGCAGGGGATCTGCACACACAATGGCGGCCAGACAATGGTGGGAGCGATAGTTACGGGACAGGATGTAAGCAGTGTGAGCCCGGATAATGTAAAAATGCCAATTCACAAAATTTGGGAGGGCAGGAACTGGGAAGCAGCGGGGAGCTCATTTCCTCCTCCCACACCAGGGTGTCCAGAGATGCCACCTGTCGCTGAAGCGAAAGCACAAACCCAGCCACTTACTAGTTTCCTTTCTTCCAGAGAAATTAGACACATAAGCAACAGTGTGGTGATTTGCGGCTTGGCAAGTTCTTCAGTGACGTACATTTTGGTTTCCTTTCATTCTCTTGTTTAAATCTTTTTTCTAAAGAGCAGGTATTGTGTGAGCTCATTTCTTGAACATTTCCAAGCAGCTCCCTCAGCTGTGCTCTATGTATACACTGATGTGCTCCATCCTGGTGTTCCCAGGATTTTTTTACGGGGTCCTGGGTTTCTGGATCACTTGCAAAATTTGGTTTTGGAACTCTTTTTTGTTTGTTTGTGTTTTTGAGAAGGGTTTTGCTATGTAGTCCAGGCTGGCCTTAAACTCACTATGTAGTCCAGGTTGGCCTTGCATTTGCAGTGATCCTCCTGCCTCAGCCTTCCCAGTGCTGAGATTATAGGTGTGCACCACCATGCCCGGGTGTTTCTGTTTTGAAACTGTTTAGTTTCACATTTTTTATAATGAGCACATACTATTTTCATAAAAGTAAAGTCTTTTTTTTTTTTCTTTTTTGAGAGCGGGTTTCACAAAGCAGTCCAGACTGGCCTCGAACTCATGGTGAACCTCCTGCCTCAGCCTCCCAAGTGCTGGGATTACAGGCGTGAATCACCACACCTGGCAGTAAAGCCCTTTTTTTTAAAAAAAAAATATATATTTCTTGAGAAGAGGAAAAAATGCTCCTTTAGTAGGCTCCCACGTCACTTGTGCAGACTGCCCAGGGTGGCAGCCAGGCATCTGGGCCTGCTCCTGGGACCAGCTCCGGGCTCCCAGGGTGAGGGGCACAGTCGGTCACAGGTGGCCCAGGGCAGAGGCAGCTGTGGTCCCTCAGATGGTTCTGGATGCACTTCTGAGCCTTGGGAATCGGGGGCAGTGGAAAGTGGGGAGGCCACCAGTTAGGGGCACAGGGAGTCAGGGGGCAAGGCCTTGGGCCTCCGGCTCTAGCTGGGTGACCTGCGCTTCTCCAGGCCTGAGAAGTCATCCTTGCTGCGCCTCACTGTCAGTTCTGTGACAGACATGGGACACACAGTGTTTGGATAGCAGTGGTGGGCACAGGATCTACTTCTCACCAACGCCGCTGGCACCCCGAGCCGCGGCTACACCGGAGTGGCAGCAGCGGCTGGCTGTCTCCGCTGAGAGCCACTCTCACAGGCTCAGCTCCACCCACTGCCCACACGGGGACACAGCCCTAGCAAACCTCGATTTCCACACTCGTACAGCAGATCGCGCTCCGTGAGCAACAGAGCCGAGTAACATCAGAAGCATGATGGGAATTCAGAACTTCCAGCAACTGGGGGACACTGTCTCGGCAAGAGTGACAGAGCCACGCAGCAGGTAACAGTGAAATACCACCACTGACAGTGATCGAGCACTTGCTATGTGCTGGACACAATTCTAAGGGCTTGAATTGTGCACGTTGATCTCACCCTCCCAGCTCCGTGACACGGGGGTGCTGCTTCACTCCAGAGAACACTGAGGCATGGAGAGATTGAAAGTAGTCTCTCTGCTAACTCCTTAGGGAGGGCCGGACAGGAGGAAGCCAGCTAAGAGGTTGCTGCAGGCCAGAGAAACAGTGTGGGTTCGAGAAGCCCTTGAGACTCACAGTGGACTTGAGGGGTGAGGGTGGAGTGCGGAGGACACGCGCTCTCCAGCACCCCTGGTCCTGAGGGAGGACAGGGACCAGCTGGGACGAGCCTGGCCCTAGGATGTAGGAGCCAAGAGACTGGGCGTAGCCCTGGCGGATGGGCGAGGTGATGGCGGGGATGCTCGCAGCCCCCCGGATGACCCCCAGCTGACGGGCAGGAGGGACAGGATGGAGAGGCTGCCAGCCTGGGACCTGCGCAGGAAGCCGGAGAGCACAGGGTGCCTGGGAGATGTGTACCGAGTGGTGCAAGGAGGCTCCATGAGAAGTGGGTGGACCGAGGGCTCCAGCGTGCAGAGAGTTTGGAATGGAACTGGGCAGTGGGGTGTGCAGGTGGGCGGGCAGGAGGGGAGGATGGAGCGGCAGGAGTTCTCTCCCAGGAAAGGAGAAGCAGGAGTTGAGGGTAAGTGGCCCTGGGCTTGTTTTCAGGAGGGGAGATTGAGGTGCATAACGGCTTGAGGTGGGGGATGCCAGTCACAGAGAAAGAACAGATCACAGGGACACTGGAAATGTGGGAGAACAGAGTTGGGCAAATTTACAGGGGAGAAATCAAGCATGGTTGTTCATGCCTGTAATCCCAGCACTCAGGAGGCTGAGGCAGGAGGATCACTGTGACTTTGAGGCCAGCCTGGGCTACAGAGTGAGTTTCAGGCAGGCCTGGATCACTGAGTTATATAGTGAGACCCTGTCCCAAAAAAAAAAAAAGGTTACAGGGGAGAAGGAGGGACAGGTGGGAATGGCAGGGCATGAGAGCTGCCTGATGGCTTGGATTGCTGGACCAAAGAGGAGGCCTCAGCAGTCCAAAGAGGATCAAGAGGTGAAGGGTGGGGAGGGCAGGTGGTGACTGAGAGTGGGCAGCAAGGGGTCACAGGCTTTTCCTGCGGGGTGGGGAAGCCGAGGTGCAGCGGCTCAGAGCAGTGAGAGGGCACTGAGCACACCATGGAGGCCCAGGCTGGGGCAGAGGAAAGGGAGGCTGGGAGAGGACAGGCAGGCTGAGGGAAGGGGCAACGGACAGAATTCACAGTGGGGGCAAAGAACAGGGTGTGTGTGGACCAGAGCTTCGGAAGTCAGGGTCAGAGATGGGCTTTCCAAGGCTGTTCTCAGGAGCCAGCTTCATGGGGTGCCAGGTCCTTGCTGGGAGCGACAGAGCGAGCAGCCTTCACGGCGCCCTCGGTCCTTGGCACCTGTTGCAAAGGATCTGTGCAGCCTGTGTGTGGGGTAACGGCGCGCTCCCCGTCAGCTCCCTGCACTGGGGGTGGAGAAGAACAATGACCACTGTCACCTGCTTTACTGTGCCGCTTTTAATTATGAAAGATGTAAAATGATGCATTATAAAACTTCGAAGCTACTTTATACAAAATCCAATCTTTAAATATTGTTTAACAAGGGGCCCTGGGAGTTAGGACGCTGGTGGGAAGTCTGACTAGCCGCTGCCGTGGTAGAGCCCACAAAGCATGGGGCCGCGCTGGCTCGGAACCATGTGCACACGGGTCAGAAACGCCGTGGGCAGTCAGGGCGAAGTGTCTTTCGAGGCGCACGTGGACCTGGACATGCAACGTCTCAGCTCAGGTGACACACGCCAGACAGAAATGACATGGGCCGTGGACAACGGGTGGGGCCCTGACATGATCAGGACATGCTTCTCCTAATGCCCTATGTCTTAAACACAACAATAAGGAAAAAGAAATGGAAACACAGAGAGGCTTTTAGTTCTATGCTGTTTAACTGCTAGTAAACAAAAGTAGTAGGACTGATTTCTTTTGATAAAATGAAATATTAAAAATAGCCTTTTCCGAAGTCTGGAGCCACTTCTGATGCTGAGGAGCACAGCTGGTTAGCTCCGAAGGCAGCAGAGAGCACAGGCGTAAGCCCAAGACAGGGCGACACCAGACCTGGTGTGTCCTCAACCCTGTTCAGCACGGTGGGCTGTACACTGCCCAAAACCTTCATAAGAAAGGATCAGAGGGAGGGCCCTGGGGTAAATTTAATTCACTGCTAAATCACACTATCCTCGGTACCACCTTCCCAGGGCACCCACCCTCCCACGGTCCCCACAGCGTAACTCCTCTTGTGGGCCTTGGGGTAGGGAAGGGGATGGCAGGACTGCCGTGCAAAGCAGACGGGCACCGTGACACAATGGTGCCCAAGGGTAAGTAAGGCACTATGCAGAGAGCAGATTATGCTGGGACTTCCTTTCTGCAAAAAACACCAGTCCTATAACACTGGCACCTGACTGGCAACATCCCCTTCCAGGGGCCTCTGACACAGGAGCTGGCTTCTGCTGGCACACCGGGGTGCTGGGTAATTTCCCAGCTGAAAGCCCTTTTACCGTAACAGAGTTCCCTGCTCTGCGGTCTCAAGTGTGGAGGGCTCTGGGGGTTTAACTGGGAATATGCCTTGCAGAGGAGGCCAACAGCTCCTTCCTGGGCAGAAATCAGGCAAGGAAGACTCCAGAATGACCTCCTAACTCAGAGGCAGAGACCCAGGCAAACAGGCAGACAGGAAGAGTCGGGTTCTGAGGAGGTGGAGTGGCGCACCACCGAGTTGATGGGAAGTTCAGAGGTCAGGCCTCTGGAGACAGAAGAGAAATGGGCAAGGGCTGGTGAGCTCAAAGGCGGGGATGGGAACACCCCCTTGCCAAGGGCACGGGGTGTTGTCTCCTTCACATCCTCGGGCCCAGAGCTCGGGCATGTAACCCCTCATCCTTCAGGGCTCCCCACCCCACCTGGCTGCTCTCTGCATGGCTGCTGGACACCAGGGGTCCCATTCCCAGGCTCGGTTTGTGGAGGCAGGCACTGCTGGTAATGTGCTTGCTCCTATCACTGCATAATGAGGCACTAATGAGTTAATGATAGTTCCATGGATTAGGCCTGCGTTTACTATGAACTTATTGTTCTAACCTCACAGCACAAATCTCTATTTTAAGCAACTTAGAGCAGAGCATGGATGTGAGAAAGGCGCTCTCAGGAAGCGGAGGCCCCCTGAGGATGTGCAGGTGCCAGCCCTGGGGAGGCCTGGGCTTGCTCAGCCATTCCGGATCCACTCGGCAGCAATCCCCGCCTTCTGCCGTGATGCAGAACCCCAAGGAGAAGGAGGCCTCTCCTGTGGATCCGGCCTTCTAGTGTTAGAAGCATAGTAAAGTGCATGGTGAGTTGAGCACAGGCACCAGCATGAGGAAAGCTAAGCTCAGAGGCCCTGGTGGGGAACGGGGCAGCTCCAGGAGAGATCACCTCACCACCGGGCAGACTGATGCGTGCACCCCACACGCAGCTATGCGGCACGGTTTCCGTACCAGGCACTTATTAGGTTCTAGAAGCTTGATGAGGAATAAGGCACAGTCTCTGCCCTCTGGGAGCTTGTGGTCGGGCAAGGTTACAGGAAACTCCCACCCCAGAGAGCAGGAGCTCAGAGCTAGGGGCGCCCCAGCTGCCTGCGGGGAGGGAAGCCTGTGCTTGTCTGGAGCTGTCCCGTGTCTTCGGGCTGCCTGCAGTGCCCTTTCTTCCTCAGCCTCCAGAAGGAGTGCAGCTCATCCACTGCCAGGGGACCTTTTCCGTGACTAAATAAAACAGTCTTCCTTTTCCTCCTGTCCTTAAGGAAAAGGTGTAAAGCAGCAAAAAAGAGATTACAGACTGGGAGAAAACAAACTAGCATTCGGTTTGCCTGACTCAAGCCTGTCCTCGGCCTGGTGGCTAAAGTTCTTCATACGGTAAGTGAGGCGCCTGAGAGCCGTGGCTTGCTGGCATGGCTCTGGATAAAGCCCTGGGAAGGCACCACCTGGAAGGCACCTCACTTTCATGGCCGGGTCGGAGAGGGCGGTGTGGCGCTCCAGTACCAAGTGATGCCGAGCCAGCTCCGTGGTCAGGGCCCGACGACCTCCCATGCCAGGCTATCTTCAGTGTGGACCAAGATCAGTGGTTCTGAGCATGACACAATGCTACCAAGGCCTCCTGTTACGTGGGATTTTCTACTTTTACACACAGACCGACTACGTGGCCAGTAAAAAGATGGAAGCATCAGGGGACAACGAGCTTTCCAGTTCCCCAGAAGCTCCAGAGCAGCAACACAATGTGTGTGCAGGCCCAAGAGGCAGGATGTAGCTCTGTGTCTACAGAAGCCACGGCATCCGAGAGGGGACCACACGAAAGCCTGGTGCTGAGGAACAGGCACCCTCTGTGTGGAGATAACTAAAGTCCTAGCGGGTTACTGGCTCCAATCTATTCCACTCTAGTTTAGCAAGTTCAGAAATCTTCCTGCTGTGGCTGCCTGCTCACAGTCGGTCAGCGCGAAACGTCTCTTCCACAGAGGGGTCGAGCAGACCCATGCCAGAGTCACTCAGCATACTGAGTCCGTCTAGGCTCAGGGGTTCAATCTGCAGTTCCTCTTCCAGCGGAAATGCAGTGTCCATGTTCAGGCTGACCTCGGGCATGCCTGCCAGTGCGCTGCTGAGGTCTTTGAACAGGCTGGTGCTGGAATCTTCTGAAAGGAGCAGTGAGAGGGGAGAACAGTGCTGAGTAGGAGGCATGATGTCCTGAGGCTACTACGAGAGTCCCTGCTGGCAATCCCCAAACACTATGCTGCCCTCTTCCCAGTCAGGAGGGCGGCACTGTGCCCCCACTGCTCCCAGGCCTGCAGCTCTTGCACTGGAGTTGACAATCTGGACCCTCAGTTCTACCACTGCCAATGTCTGCAATGGCTGTTAGTCACCTCAGACTAAACACCTCGGAAACATCCTGACCTCCAGGCCCTTTCCCTACCACCCCATGGTCTCTGGAGCCAACCACTTGCATCACAGGAAATAAAGTCGAGCCAGGGGACTTTCCCTCTCTGCCTTATATAATGTGATGTGGTTCAAACTGTGTTTACAAGAATGACTGTAACAACACGGTAAAGAAATTGGTGGGAGGCTGAGGGCAGCCCACACTCACCCGTCATGATGGCATTCGGGAAGTTCCCACAGTTGGAATACAGGTTTGGTCTCAAGTGAAATGAGTCCTGTGCCTCTCGGTGACCTTGCTGTGCCAGGGGCACCTGGAAGCATCGAGGATCACATTGTGAGGAACAGCCTCTGTTTCTGAGGAGAGGGGAGTCCCTTCTTTCTAGGGTCCCAGAGTGCTCTGCTGTCCCGACAATGCAGGCAAGATAGTCCTGTCAGGCACAGACCCTGCCTCTGAAGTCTACACCACGGGTAGCTTTTCCCCATCCATACTGTCCAGTGCGCTACAGGACCCCAAAGACCCCACAGTCACAGTTTCTGCAGCCCTAAGTCTCCAGGGCCCCTCTTCTCCTCAGCCTCACCGGGCTGGTGCCAACTACCATCTGTGGGAACCCTTCAAAGGCTGCATTTACGGCCCAGGACTCAGTGGTCTCTCTTCCCACCTGGTCTCTGGAAAAATGAAGATGCAGAAGCCTTTCACTGTCACACCAGAGGGAGGGGTCTCGACCAGTGCCTCTCTGGAATAAACCCTTGATCTATTTCAGACAACTTTCCTGAAATTAACTCTTCAAAGCATTTTTTAAAGAAATGTCTCAAAAGAAGGCGTTTTCATCATTGTTTAGGGATATGGTGATTCTCACCCAGACTGAAATAGGCTCTTCAGAAAACAGGGAGGCAGAGCTGGGGTGAGGCTCACTGGCAGAGTCCTTGCTCAGTACGCACGGGACCTGAGTTCCAGCCCCAGTGCCACCAAAACCCCCCCCAAAAAACCCCCAAAAAACAAAACCCTGGGGTTTACCAGTTGTCACCAGAAGCCTTCGCCATGGCCTAGTTAGGAAATACACAGGCGCGTCAGTTCACAAACACTTCTGTTTGTGAACAATGTGTTTCACAGGCAGAAGCACGGGGCAAAGCTGTTTTTGTTTGCAAACTCTGCATCGGGTGGCGAACGTGACTGTGGCCATCTTTCCCACACAAACACAAACACAGCCATCTTTTCCAGAATTACATTCATGAACTGAGGTATGACTATAATTATCTTTATTTGTTTTACAATTATTAAATTCTGGAACTGGTCATTCACTCTTCACTCCATCCTGGAAGTTGATACTCACTTACTGAACACTACAAAATGCAGGGATAGTAAAAATGGCCAGTGTCAGGGAGAAGCAAAAGAAAGTGACTGAGTGAAGATATTTCCCGGAAGAACCATCCTGTACCCCACTCCCGGACTGAGCTTTCTAGGAGCGACACGCTGAGCTGGGTGCACCAATCTCCACTTTCTAACTCCATCACCCCCACCTTGCCTCAGTTTCCTCAGCATGAGGGGGCCACTATGGTCCTTTCAGTACTGCAGACTCTACAATCCTATGACTAACTGCCATCAAAGTCTCCTAGTGTTGGCTCAAGCAACAACTCTCCGAGGTCTGACACGGACATGGCAGTCAGGGCCAGAGGTCTAGGGCAAGGAGCAGTTCAGGGCACCAAGGAAGGGCAGGCAGGGGCGATCACCCACCTGTGGGGGAAAAGCTGGGCCTGGCCTCACAGACTGCTGGTCAAAGCCCACATCTGGGAAGAAGTTGTTCAAAGATGTGCCCTGCAGAGAAGGAGGTGACCTCTTAGCTTGGAACCCAGAGCGGAACCTCCTCACCCTCTCCTCACTGACTGACGTCCTGCAGGACTCACCTGGGAAGGGAGAAGCTGGAAGTCTGATGGGGGCAGGGATGAGGAGGCCTGGGGTTGGGGAGCAGGGGGCTCCTGGGAGCGGGGCTGTGGCAAGAGAGGCTGCGGGAGCTCCTGGGGCGTGGGGTAATGGGGTGGCGGGGACACTTGAGCCTGCGCTTCAGAAGGCAAGAAGGACAGTGGGCTTTGCTCTGAGGACACCATCTGTAAAAGAAAGACACCAATGAACTTTGAGTCCTAGCTGTAAGCCCTTTGGATCAGGAAATGTCATGGTGCAGTGTGAGAAAAGCCTGTGTCTGCTCCTCTGAGTGGGTCTCAAATCTCATTTCCCCACAAAGCGTCTCCCACTCAGTGACATTTCTATTGTCTTTACAAACCAAACAAGATCCTGAGTTCGATTCCTGGTACCAAACCCCTCCTCAAAAAACACCACATGAGAATACATTCAATTGAACCAATTTTCTCAGCGAAGATTATGTTTTGTTTTCAAAGCCACGACTTCTGAAAAAGGTGCTTTGCCGCACTGCCTCTCCTGCAGAGCTCTCGCCTCGCTTGTGCTGCTGGTCCCCACCCTGCCCTCCCAGGCACCCACCAGCAGTCTTGCAGGGCTGGCCATTGGACAGCAAAGGTCAGGGTCTGTGGAAACGACAGGGTGAGGCTTTCTACTGAAAATACAGCGTTTACTAGAAGTCTCACTACCAGATCCTTAACGGTCTGCCTTGGTTCCCAGCTCGGCTCTCACAATGCTGGAATCCAGACATCGGCCTCAACACCTGTGTGCTTCAGGCAGGTGAGCCAGGCTTGAAACCCTAACACTCAGGCCATCAGAAGTTCCCCAGCAAGCTGGGCGTGGTGGTGCAGACCTGTAATCCCAGCACTCTGTGGGGCTGAGGCAGGAGGATTTTGAGTTTGGGCCCAGCTTGGGTAACTTAGTGACTTAGTGAGACTCTATCGCAAAATAAAATCAAAATAAAAAAGGGCTGGAGATGAAGTTCAGTTTGAAGGCCGTGGGTTCAGTTCCCAGTACCATAAAAGAAGAAAAAAAAAAGCAGATTAACAAAGAAAGTAAGGTACCTTATTAACTCCTAGGAGAAAGTAAATGTTCACTTTATTTCATAATATATTATATGGTTCAACTCTGACTATATTATTATAACCACCGAATATGTTCTAACCCAAATTATAAAAAATGAGGAGGGTGAGAAGTGTGTGTGTGTGTGTGTGTGTGTGTGTGTGTTGGGGGTGGCAGAGGAGGTAAAAGGAAACCAGGTCCTGATCTTAATGGTAAGATGCCATTAGATGGTGCCTAACACCAAAAATCTAGAGCAAAATAAGCATGGGTTAATACAGTTATTCCAAAGAGTCAGCCAAAAGGGTGGAAAGCAGCCATCTCTAGGCAGTGCAAATATAGTTCATGGGAAAGAGGGAGACAGTCTTATACAACAGCTTTAGAACAATTTTCCTTTTTTAACTATATGCATTATAACACTGATTATCTTTAAAATCTGAATATTAAACAAACAAAAAAGAGAAAACAACTCAAAGAGGGCAGCGTCTACCCATACAGTTTCCTTAAAATGTAGCTGGAAAGCAAGAAAACTTTTATATCCTATAAAATAATCTCGCAAAATAAAACTAAGGGCAATTCAGTAACATAAAAAGAGCCATCAAAAACCAATTACAAGACGTCCTCCCCCAGAGAGATGACGCACACAGTCACGATCCCACAGCCAGACTGGTGAGGAGCGACTAACAGGGAGACTAAATCCCTCCTGCTTCTAAACCATTACTCATTTACAGGGAAGTGCTGAGTAGGTGCTGATGTTCTAACGCATCTAGGGTGTGGCCAACAGGGTAAAAATATATTCATTGATGATATGGTAAGGAGAACTACAGTCTAGAATAAAAACAAAGTCAACAAGTCAAAAATATGACATTTCAACCTTCTTTTTTTTGTTGTTGGGAGACAGGGTCTCACAATGTAGTTTAGGCTGGTCTTGAGCTTGCTATGTAGCCCAGGCTGGCCTTGAACTTGTGGTAGTCCTCCTGCCTCAGCCTCTTGAGTGCTAGGATTATAGGCATGCACAACCATGCCTGGGTAAAAATTTTTATTTTTCTTTCTTTTCTTTCTTTCTTTCTTTCTTTCTTTTCTTTCTTTTCTTTCTTTTCTTTCTTTTCTTTCTTTTCTTTCTTTTTTTCTTTCTTTCTTTCTTTCCTTCCTTCCTTCCTTCCTTCCTTCCTTCCTTTCCTTCCTTCTTGTCTGTCTGTCCTTTTTTTCCTTCCTTCCTTCCTTTTTTTTGTGGTACTGGGGCTCAAGCTCAGGGCCTTGCACATCTAAGGCAAGAACTCTATCACTGAGCCACAGACATTTCAACTTCTTTCTTTTTTTTGAGGGGTGTGGTGCTGGGAATTGAATTTAGGGTCCTTGCATTCAGCTACTTCTGAACACCTTTGTTGTCTTTTAGGGTGTGTTGTCCTGAGCTGTTTAGGCTAGGCTTAAATTCACAATCCTGCCTCAGCATCCAGAGTGCTAGGATTATAGCAATATGCCACCAATCCTCAGTTTCAACTCCTGTTTTTGTTTTTGTTTTGAGACAGGATCTTGCTATGTAGTTCAGGCTGGCCTTAAACTCACAATGTAGCCCAGGCTGACTATGAACATGCTGTGATTCTCCTGCCTCAACTTCCCCAGTGCTGGGATACAGGTGTGTGACACCATAACCAACTTCCTGTATTTCTTTTTTTTGGTTTGTTTTTGTTTTTCTTCCGGTACCAGGAATCGAACTCACGACCTTGCGCTTGACAGGCAGGTGCTGTGCCACTGGGCTAAATCCCCAGCCCCTAACTTCCTATATTTCTATAATGGGCTTGTGACTCCTTCCAGGCAGACTTCAATTAGTCTTTTTATTGAGCTGTGATACTCATTATTCCTAGTATTTCATGAACAATAAAAGTATTGTCAAATCTGTAGTGGTCATTAGGGAAGAGGTTTAATCCACTATTAAAGCTACTTTAGTATCAAAGATACTAAATGTTTTCTTTGGCTTTCCCCTGTGGCTTAATGTAGTTAAGTCAATAATTGATTTTCCATACCAATTTAGAAACACTAACCTGGTTTCCCTTAGCTATCTTAGATATATCTGGATTGAATCTCTACATCCTATCCTAAGTTCATGAGCTAGTGACTACAAATTGTTCAGTATTTGCTTAAGAGTAATCCATACCACAAATCTGCTCTTAGACAATCATTAATGCATTCTGAATTATTCGCACTTCTGTTCTCTCTTAGTGTAATAATGGACCTAATCCAAAGCAGCCCAGAGAAGGGAAGCAACCCCGGAAGCTGGAGTGTGTGCCGGTGTTTACCTGGGAGGCGGGGTACGGGTTCAGCGGGCTGGTGGAAGAGAACTGTCTGCTGAAGCCTTGTTGTGCTTCTGGGCCGGGAGACAGTGTGAGGGGGCTGACGGGAGGCTGCCGGCGCCTTGAGGGGCCGCTCAGGTTTGTGGTGGGGAGAGACGGGTTGCTAAGGGAAAACAGACGCAGGGAAGGGTGCAGAGCAGACACACTGGTAACAGATGTCTGCGGGTGGCTATTCAGGGAAGAGGAAAGCGCTATCTTATTAAGTGTGGCTTGGATGGAGGGGTTACTCCGAGAACTCTGCAGACCTGGAAAACAATACGTTCACATATTACTTGTTACAGTTTCAGAACAATCTTTTGCTTTCCAAAGATGAAAGAAAACATCCTACTATCCCTATGTGATGGTGATGCTGTACGTAAAGGAGCCCCTGAGGGACTCTCCTACTGGAAATATCCTGGATGCACCAATGAAAAAAAGATGCATCCACATTAAGATGGTACTGAGCATCTAGCAGGAGCAAAATGACTACTGTTTCTAAAGAGGAACGGGGTGTGCAAACAACCCCTGCGGGAGTGACGCTGGGTAGGCAGTGCATAGCAGAGACTAGTGTTTGGTGTGCCCAGCCTGGATTCCTGAAAGGCCTCCAGGACCAGACCAACCATTCTGTTCACAGCCCTACATGTCTCTGTCCAAGACATACTACCTGGGTCCTCTGCTACCTGGGAAGACACTGTTTCATTGAGAACTGTGGGTTCAGGAAGACTTTCAATGCCCTCAGCGTGCCAGGGAGCTGTAGGAGGGGCACTTTCTCCTATCTCCCACCCCAGGCTCCCTCTTGCTTTGATTTCTGGGCTTTAGGAAACTGTTCATCACAGTCTATCCCAATGCAGGGACAAGGTTTTGATGATCTCCTGTTTCTTGCAGGGGCTGGGAGGAAGTTAATCTTAGCCTGAGCTGTAAAGTTTGAAAAAGGTATTTCAACAGCAGTGCAGGCTGCTAGGGCATGAGCTCCATGAAGCTGGGACCCTGTTCTATTCCTTGCTGTGTACCTTAGTACCTGGAGCAAGGCACGGCCTATGGCAGCTTCACTCCATGAAGGAAATATGCTGTTGCTGCTGCTGCATATATCTCAATTGGCAACAGCCATGTTTTAACATTCAGCCCATTAGTCTTGCACCAGCAGCTAGGGTGAGGAGAACTGTGTGTAGTTTTGTGTTGATTAAAAAATGAAGTGCTTGGGGCTGGGGATTTAGCTCAGCGGCAAAAGCGCCTGCCTGGCAAGCGCAAGGTCATGAGTTCGGTTCCCGGTACCGGAGAAAAACCAAAAAAAAAAAAATGAAGTGCTTGCTAAAAGTTATAAAAATGTGTAAATTATAAAATCAAGCACTTTAGCTGGCTTTTTTTTTTTTTTAAGACAGTCTTGCTGTGTAGCTAAGGCTGGCCTTGAACTCACTATGTAACCCAGGCTGGCCTGGAACTTGTGGTAATCCTTCTGCTTCAGCCTCCCAAGTGCTGGATTACAGGTATGCACTACCACACCTGGCTAGCAGGCAATTGTTTTTAAGGTAGGAAGATGGCTATGATGAAATCTTAGCAGTTATCCTACCATCCAATAATCTATGAAAAAGGTCAGATGCAGTTAGCTCACATAATAATTAGAGCTAGAGATCTGAATTTGGATGCAATTTTAAAAATTCATTCAAAAAGGAAGTTTAAACATTTTTTAAAATATGGGTACCATACATTTTAATGAATGCATAAACTATAAAAATATGTTACTGGTTCTGCTGTGCTCTAGACAAAATGATGCTTTTTTGAGGAAGAGAACAGCCAATGATTAAACGGGAGATTTTCAGTCTGAAAAAAAGTGTCGAAGCCCGTAACAGAAAATGCCACCTTCTTCAAGATCCTTCTGGAGCTGTGGCTGTTGCAGCTTCCATGACCCATATTATCCTCATTCAGTGAGAGTTCACCCAAAAGGGGGATTGTCCAGGCTCAAATCTAGAAACCCCAAAAGCTTTGAGAGTTTCTATTATGAAACAAGTCAAGTGACCTGAGAGCTGAGAGACTGTCTTTTCCCCATAGAGCATCCTGGGCCTGAAGGAACATATTCTCTGAAACACCCTGTGCCAAAACAGCACCAGTACTTCTGTACACACTTCTTGATTTCTAAAAGTCAAAACCTAGACTCAGTGGATGAAAAAACTTGCTTATTACTACAGACAATAAAATGAAGAAAAAAAACCCAAGATGAAAATAAAAGTGATCTCTGAAATCTGTTTTGCAAGCCTAAAATTATGTTGCACAATGGCAGCGTCACTCCTTCACAAAACCTCCTAAGTGACCCCATTCCATGTGGGTGGCAAGTTCTGATCTGTGTGGACAAGTCTCACTGAGCCCAGGGTGTGGACAGGAGGACACATCCTGCACTTACTGTCAGTGGGGCCCCTTCCCAGCACATGTCCCAGAAGTGCTGGGAGCACAGGGACCATCACTACCCAATAGGACAAGAGCATCTGGCAGGTTCAAGCCAACCATGGTGTGTGAGCTGCAGGCAATCAAACCTGTACAGTGATACCCATACAGCATTTTAGTGTAGCTAAGGCCCCATCTTTAAGCACCTGAATAATTCTTAACAGTAGCAGATTTCTACTTAATACACACACATTAAGTATAAACATTTTCACTGCATCCACTGGAAATTTTCCAAAATTCAAAATATTCTCTTTGTAAATCCAATGGGAAACTGGAGGGACCTAGGAGATACCACTATACAGAGAAGAGTTATGAACATTGTTCAGCCAGTATAGAGTGCACACTTTTTTTTTTTTTTTTTGTACTGGAGATTGAACTCAGGGCCTTTGCACTGAGTTACATCTACAGTCCTTCCTTATTTTTTATTTTGACACAAGGTTGCCTCGGCTGGGCTCCAACTTGTGAGCCTCCCAGAGCACTGGGATTAGAGGTGCATGCCACCATGCCTTGCCTACACGTATATCTTGATTCTGCAATCTTCTTCCCTCAACCTCAGGATGCACAGATTCGTGATGACAACAAAACGAGGTTTGGCGGAGTTTATCAAATGGAACAGAAACAGAACCCCCAAAATTAAATGTCCACAGGTCCAGTGGGTATTGGGGTTCACAGTTCTCTCTAACTAAGATGCAGCCACTCTCATTCAATGATGCAATGGACAGGCCAAAGGTCTGAGGCCACGGACAAGGCCCTTCCTCAGTGGAACACTTACCAGAGGAGCCTCTTAAGCCCAGGTGAGTCATGGCAGCAGGGAGGTTGCCCACACTGCTCCCCACGCTCACACTGCCCAGGAGGTGGTCGCTAGGTTCCAGAGAGGCTGGCAGTGGCGTGGAGCAGTGGAGGTTGGTCAGATCTGGCAGGGACCCTCCTGTGTTCAGGCTTCCCAGGAAGGGCGAGAGGCCTATGTTTTGCCCATTATGGGGGAGTGCACTGCAAAACAGAAAGATGAATACTTCTTTTCACAGTGCCCCTGGCTGTCAGGAAATGGAACATGTGTAGTAACTTTTCCTTGTCAAAGAAGAGCAGTGGATACCAAAGTTCAAAGTCCTAATGTAGGCTCTGTTCTCCCTTGTTCTGACAGCCTGGGTGGATGGTTTAACTCTCTGAAATATAATTTCCAAACTATTAAATTGGACTGATGATGTCACCTATGGCTAATACTCTGTAAAATATGCGGCACGATTTCATATTTCTACAGTTCTTTTTTGCTAGATTTCTAAACGATTTTTCCCACCCAAAAGATAAAAACATCATCTCTGGGAAACTAGATTCCTTCCAAGACAGACTGTTTTAATTACAGTTTTCTTAAACTTCAGAATGAGAAAAACACGTTGTCGAGCATGCATCAAAACCTGTCAGCTAGCTGCTGTGTGCCAGGCCCCAGGCTACTGCTGCGGGTGGTGAGAGCATCCACACAGTCTGGCCAGGCCCGACCTTAGCACTTGCTGATGGAAGCCTGTGGGTATCTACTTCATTTTTAGTGTTCTAAATCAAATGAACAAACCCTAAGCGAACCTGTTCTATGTGTCTGTCTTGACAGATCACACCTTTCTAACACCCTGGCGGGCCAGCTTCAAACGTGGACCTCCCACGTCCTGGGCTCCTCACACAGAAGAGCAGCCCAGCCCGCTGTCCACGCCCTCTCCCTGCCCCAGCCCTGCTCTGCCCTGCGGGGCACACGTGGGGCTGTCCCAAGCCATATGGCCAAGCTCTGCCTACACCTGGCCTCTCTGTAGGTCTAGGGAACACGCATAGGGGGTCCCTCTAGTTCTTTGGAGCTGGTCCTTCCACAGACAGGGCCACGAAGCCTCAATCACAGTTACAGGCAGACAGCAAGGCAGGAAGGATGAGCCGGCAATTGCAATGTGGCAGGTCTGCTGAGGGGTGGGTCCAGCCAGGAGGTAAAGTGAACGGGGAGGATGAAAGCAGTGACAGTGTCAGTGTTATGGAGGGGAGGCTTTGCCAAGGACGTGCCAAGGACATGAGGTGCCAGGTGCCAGGGCAGCATGTAGGGAGAGGCAGGCAGGTGGGTGAGGAACCAAGAGAGAAGACAACAGGCTGTTGTGAAGAGTCTGGGGCAGGGACTGCAGCAAAGAGGGAGGCCAAGGTGAGGAAGAGGAGGTTACTTTAGAAAGACTACTATGTGGGGGTGTGTACAGGAGGAGGAACAAGCAGAGGTGTACATTGGAAGGCTCCCATGGTGGCCCAGGTCTGTCCAGGAAGAGGGGTGGTGTTGAGGAGGAGGAGGGTAAAACAGGAGGAAGAGCCCCAGAAGACCTCTGGTCAGCACACATGCATCAGGAGAGCCCCTACCAAAACCGGGCCTTTCCGGGTCTCAGAAGCAGTAGAGACAGAGCCAGAGAGAACACAACCTGCACTGCAGCATGACTCAGGCCAGATGTATGGCTGTGCAGGGTGAGCAGCAGACCGAGGAGGCTTGCTGAGGACAGCTGAGCTGAGGATGGAGGCTCCGAGCAGGCAGCGCAGTCTATCAGGTAGCCTGAGCCAGGCAGGAAGGTGGGAAGTCACCTGGTGTGCCTAGGGCGGGGAGGACTTGGCCACCAGGAAGGTCACCTGGGAAGGAAGCAGGGAGCACCTGAGGCTGAGACTGAGGCATAGGGACTGGAGGTGGGGAAGGTGGGAAGGAGGGAAAATGTGCTGGGTCTTCCTTAGGGCAGGGTGGCTCCTGGACCTGGGGTAAGGAGCAGAGCCTAGAGGCAGAGAGAGGAGCTATGACAGTGCTGTCAGCAGACACCATGAGAGAGCACAGGGACAAGAGGCAGGGTGGGTGCTAGAGAATTCACAGAGGGGTCTGGGCTCCCGGCGCAGGGTCCAGAGGGCACAGTAGACAGGGAATAAGTGGAGGGAGAGCACGAACTCAACTTGGAGCTTTGCCACACTGGATAACATGCAGTATGGATATCACCCACTCGGCCAAGTCCTAGAGGAAGGAGTAGACATTTGGAGGAACAGCAGAGGTTGACACTGGGCCATCAGGGGCCCAGGGATGGGCAGGCCCTCAAGAGCAAACACTCTTCCAAAAGAGGGCTGACAATTTTAGACCCAGAGGGAAGGCTAAGCACTGCAGAGAGGCCTCAGCAAGGCCAGGAGAGAGGAGGCTGGCATTAGGGAGGGCCACCTTCCTGCTTCTGAGGGAGGCAAGGGCGGCAGAGCACACCTGGCACCAGAGGAGGCTGAGCTTGGCTCCATGGCCTCTCTTCCTGGGGTGAAAGGAGAACTGAGCTAACTACAGAGGTGTGGGGAGAAGGGCGGCAGCAGAGGGGCCCACGGAGCAGGTGGCTTTGGCTGTGGAAAACCTAGATGTAGATGTGATCTTTGAGATGGCTGGGTGTAAGGAACTGGCTCCGGGGTAAAAGTGCAAGCAATAGGAAGGTGAAATTGACAGCCCAGAGCTGCCCGCTGTGACAGCAGAGGGTGTCCTGACAGGAGACTGACCCCAGGGCACTGAGGTGGGAATGAAGGCAGGGGAGGGCGGGAAGAAGTGGCAAACGGTGCGTACAGTGACAGAGTGAGGACAGAGAAGAGGATGTGACCAGTGTGAGCCTGGTCAATAGTAACATGCATAACAACTTCTCTGTAGCTGAGGGAAATACAGCAGTCACTCTGCAAACATCACTGCTGTCTACCAGACCTGATAAAGGGCAGGGAATGTTCCCTCTCCCCGTTCCGAACCCTTGCCCTGGATGATCCACCTTCTCTGAGCACCCTGGAGCTCCCCAGCCTGCCTGGCTCCAGGCCTTCCACCTCCAGGTCTTCACGCTGGCCCTTTCCTCTGCCCAAAGCCCTCCTCCTCTCACCTGCTCTGGATTCTGGTCCCCAGCTGTTTTGTCAGAAAGGCTTCCTCAGCACCCATCACTGCCCCTCTCCTTACTTCACTGTTTCTCCATTTTCACCCACACACAACACACACTTCACTGTGTGGCCTGTTTTGGCCTATCTGGCTCCCCTGGAACATGAGCTCCCTGTCAGCAGGGGCTCGATCTGTCTTGTTCATTGTTCTACCTGGCACCTAGAATTAAGGGGCCAATAAATATTTGCATGAACAGAAGTCATGGAATGGCATGCCAGCTCTAACAGAAGAACAAAAAAACAATTTTCTTTATCTAAGAAATACTGGCTTTCCAATTCTCCAGGGTTAATGTGCTGCAGCCCAGGTCTTGGTAGCAGTGGGCCCTCAGGGCCTGGAGTACCTATTACGTGAGGGCTCAGCCAAAACTGCTTTTTGAGGGAAATCCTGGCCCTTCTGTGGGCAGCAGGGTCTGTACTCCTGGGTGGGCTGTTCTCCCTGCCCTGCATGTACCCAGCAGGCTTTCTGATGTTCTAAAGAGAAGGTCAACTCTCTTCTCAGCTCAGTGTACTGGTAATTACATGAGTTTATATTTAACCAGCCAAGAAGAATGTCTGTGTGGCAGGTACCCAGTAGGGAGTGCCCTGGATGCACTGCTGTGAAAAGGTCCTGGGGAATATGGCCTGAGTCCACCCAGCTCACCACAGACTGTCTACAATGGGTGCTTGGGCCAAGCCAGGTGACTCAAGGGTTCCACTGTCAAACCACATTTCACACCGGGGAAGACTTGCTGTTTCTGAACTGGCACAGGCTCTGTGGTCATGCAGCTGAGGAGCTACGTAGGAGGTCCCCAGGGTCCCTTTTGAAGACCACAGCAGGGGCTCCTCCGGCTGGCTGGGGTGGCAACCACGCAGCTATCCGCTGCTGTCATAGAGGTGGGAGGTGGCCTCTTCTGCACGTATCTGCTGATGCCCGTGCTGCACCCTCCCTTTCAGCTCCTTATTCTCTCCCAGGCGCAACTCCCTCACCAACTCCACTTTTCATCTTTTTATACTATATGTATTTCTGTAAGCTGTCTCAACGCTTTTGGGGAGTAAGGCTGTATACTATGAAATCCATTAAATAACTGGCGGTGTTACAGAAACTTTTTTTACATTGCAAATCTTCCTATTTATCTTCCATTTAAAAAAATGTAAAATATATGTAGTGTGACTGAAATATACAGAAAATGTTTAAATTTTTAAAAAATTATTACAGTAAAAGACACATTGTTATTCAATCACAATATTCTCAAAATATCCTCCTTCACGTTAGACACTCATCCCATCATTCTTGCCACTTTCTGAAGCAGCTCTGGAAGTCCTCTTTCCTCAGTGTCTCTAAGATGTGTGACTGAAAATACAGTGAATACTGCCGCCGAGAGTCATCCAACAGAAAGGAAGGCTCATAAAAACAGTCCTCATTGACCTTACTCACTGGAGCTGGCACTGTGCCACTTCTAGCTCTTCCTCAAAGTCAAAGTGACCATGAAAAGTAAACATCTTTAATTGATTCAAGACACTGAGGCAGCCGTAACAGCGCAATTAAAGACACTCAGGAAAAGGGACTTCCAGAACTGCTTCAGAAAGTAGCAAGAACAATGGGATAAGTATTTTTGAAGTAAGGGGAAGTTTTTCGAGGCAGATTGGTGGGAATGTCTTCTACTATAATAAAAAAAATTAAACATTTACCATATTTTTCAATTATACCTCATGCTTACCATAAAAGTCACTATTTCAACCATTTTTATGGGCACAACTCAGTGACAGTAAGCACATTCTTAGAAATTGGCTCAACTTCTGTATAACCAACTGCTGGCTTAACAGATGCTGTCCTTCTCCACTTTCCAACTTGTCAGAACCAGCAGGTGGGGGGCCACACACTCTGCTCTCCCAGGTGAGTTATGTGCTTGTCCAGAGTCAGTTATGTTATCCTCAAACATATTTATGGTAGTTTTTCTTCACTATTGTAGTTATATAAGTGAATTACTTTAAATACATGAAATTTGAGTACTGAAAGTCAGCAGCTGTTTTTAGGGAGGTTCACACAGAGAAGGTCACAGTTCTCAGAGCTCAGGGACAAAGCAGCAAACTCTCCTCTCAGGGAAAAGTGCAATAGAAGGCCATTACTTACTTGCTACCTGTGACATCACAGGACCGAGGGCGCCCTGACAGGGACTGGATCTGGGAAGAAACAGTGAGGTTTAGTCACTCAAGGCCAAACTCAGGTTTTGGGAAGAGTCTTTGAAGGGATCACGGAGCCTCCGTGGGCACCAGCAAGAGCCACCTCAGGGCCACAGCACTCTCACAGAGCTGCCGTGTAGGTTCTGAGGAGGCTTGAAAAATTCTTAACCTTCCCAGCATAAGGGAAAGAAAACCTTAGGGTTGTCTTTTTTTTTTTTAACTTTAAGATTGTCTTAATTGATGCTTTATTACTTTTTCTTGTAGATGAGAATTATTTCCTTAAAAAAAAAAAAGCCAGTGTTTCTTCGTGTGGAGTTTTCAAATAAACATTCCTTTTCCAATTGGCTTGAGAGGAACAGAAGGAAAGAGAAAAGCATAATAAAAAAAGACAGGAAATGGATGCCTAAGAAAATGAATAATTCAATTAGAACACAAACTGGGGAGGGGCAGGAGTGAATACTTCAAACCCACAGGCACAGAGGGAGAGGAGCGCCTCTCCGCAGAGCACAGCCCCCAGTACTCACTCAACGAGCATGGGTACAGCACCCTCTGCAGGAGAAGATGTCCTCTGATAAAAGTCTCCAAAGTGCTGTGTGTCTCACAGTGAAAGACACATGGCGTGGCTGCTTCTCATACCCTTCAATATGTGAATTCAGCTTTTTTAATTTCTTAAAAGATTGAACACCAAATGAGCCATAATTTTAAAAAATGATGAATGTTGAAACTTTCTAAAATCACAGTAAAAGATACATTGATGTGAATCCTCCTCAAAATCCTCTCGCTTTCTTTGAGCACACTTATCCCATCATTCTTGCAGTTTCTTGAAGCACTCCTGGAAGTTCTTTTTCCTGAGTGTCTTTAGCTACACTGTCATGCCTGCCCCGATGTTGTGAATCAGCTCAAAACCTTTACCTTCCTCGGTCATCTTGACTTTGAGCCACGAGTGCCACACAGTGCTAGATCTGGTGAATAAGGCTGCGGAGGACACACTATCAAGTCTGTGAGTCTGCCTTTCTGTTGGATGGTAGTACTTGGCAGCAGCATTCACTATATTTTGGTAATGCCTCATAAAGACATGAAAAAGGATTTCCAGAACTGCTTCAGAAAGTGGCAAGGATAGAGCCAGGTATGATGGCGCACACCTGTAATCCTAGCACTCAGGAAACTGAGGCCAGAGGATCACTGTGAGTTCAAGGCCAACCTCTATATATTGTCAACTCAAAGCTAGTCTGGACTATAGCAGTATCCTGTCACAAAACAAATTAACAAAAAAGAAGGTATCAAAAATGATGGGATAAGTGTGCTTAAAGTGAGGGAGTGTACTTTGAGTGAGACTAATGGCAATGTGTCTTTTACTGTAATGATTTTTAAAAATGTAAACACACATTATAGTTTTGACTAACTCTTGTATAACTTGCTATTATTTAAAATAAAACCCTCAAAGACTACCGAATACTACCGAATTGGTAGACTTGGTGGAAGAAAACGGAGCTGAACCCAAAGGATTCTTAAGGTGGTATCAGTTAAGTCCAGAGGTGATACCAGCAACTACAACAGAGCATCAAGGGCTGGGACAGAGGACTTTTCTCTTTTTAACTACGGCAGCTTCCCTAAGGGGAGATGGCTCCCTCTCCCTCTTGTCCAAGGCAGAGACATTTACAGAGAGCCAGGTAAAGTAGCACAGCTGCAGATGCAAAACCCAAGGCTCACAGAAATCACAGCAAAACAGATGGATCACTGAAGTCTTAGAGGGCTTAGGTCAAAGGCCCTTGACATAAAAATGTACAACATGTGTGTTTGGTACAGCAGCAATTCTGGGCAGAAGATGGAGACTGGCAGCTGGTAGCTTCAAGGTGGGGAATCTGCCTATGACTTGTAACCATCTTTCAGAGTTTTTATGATCTGAGCAATATATAGGGGCTTAACTTGTTTTTTTCTTTTGAATGAGTAAATTCAGTTGAAAATCAGGAAATCACGAGAGAGATCATTGCATTGATTCACTGACACAATCGTGATTATTTTCACTATAAACATTTTCCCTTGCATATTTTTCCTACCTCTGTCCCCCTGACAAATCCTCTCTTCCCCTTTTCCCAGTTCTTTTCTGCCCCTGCAGGACTTGACAATGACCTCCAACCTGCAGATGACCAGCGACAAGCACACCGTGGATGCTCACCCACCTCCTTGGTCTCCCATAGTTGCTTTGGCAGTGGCTTCGGGACATTTAACAGATTTTCTTCTTTCAACGGGCCAGGGAATGGCACTATTAAAGGAGGAGAAAGCAGTGTTATAAGGAAGCCATCTTACCTTCGGCCAAATAAATGATGTGTGTAAAAATGATCTGCCTAGGGACATTTGCTAACCCACTGCTAGGGAAGGTGCTCTGAGCATCACGGTGTAGGTGCACAGATGAGTAAGACACAGATGAGTGGCCCCAACCCGTAAGGGATTTCTACCCCAGCCCAGGCCTGAGGGCAACACTACAGCCACAAGAAGCCAGGAGACGCCCAGAAGGCCACAGTGCCGCCCTGTGCTGGTGAGGGCAGTGAGAATCTAGGGGGCCCTGGAGCCTGGGCACTCAGGCAGCCTGTTAGAGGCACAGGAAAAGGCATCCCAAAGGAGCAGGAAATAAGAACAGGGATCAGAGACAGAGGAAGTTGCGGGCAGCTACGAAAAGAGCAGTGCTTTTTACTTGCAGTGTAGGTCAGGGAGAGGGAATGGCGGGAATGAAACACAGAAGGTGAGACCAGGCCAGGGAGGACCCTGCAGACTGGGGCAGGGTTGAGGAGACTTAGGGATCTAGGAGAAATCTAAGAAGGGAGACTAAGGTGAGAGGAGGAAGCCCCGGTGGAGCTGCTTGGGCATGGGTGAGGATGGGGATTAAAGAGGAACTGACACCCAGTGGATTGCAAGCTGGGGAGCCGAGAGGGGCCCGAGCGGCTCTGAACACTGCCAAGCAACTTGGCTTTCTGTTTTAACATTCAGGTTAAACATGGCTGGGCCGGGGATATAGCTCAGTGGCATAAGTTCTTGCCTGGCAAGCCTGAGGTCATGAGTTCGATTCCCAGTCCAAAAAAAAAAAAAAAAAAAAAAAAAAAGGTTAAACAGCTTCTGAGCCAAGCCACAAATGAGTGAAAGCTTTTTGTTTGTTTGTTTGCTTGTTTTTTAACTGCTCTTAGTTCAGATTCTATGTGCTTTTATTTATTTATTTTTTGTGGTGCTGCGGATCAAACACAGAACCTTGTGCATACAAGTCAAGAGCTCCAGCCCCTGAGCCACATCCCCAGCTCCCAAGTGATAGCTTTTTGTTTTCAGAGATGAACCAGAAGACAAGGGCTGGATCTTGGGCCCAGCACCAGACACAGAGATTACACAGACCCAGGCGTGCTGTTAGGGCCCAGGAACCACATAGCCCCAGTGTGATGTTATGTCTGTCCTCTTCTAGCCCCATGTGAGAAGTCGTTTAAAACAGGGACCACAACTCCTGAGTAAATTCCGAGAAAAGGACTTGAAACAAATGCTCTAAAGTAGATCACTGTCTATTTAAATAGAATGTGGAACACAGCTACAATTGTGCACTCCTGGAATGAATGAAGTGTGGACGAGGGACAGTTTCTCCGACAGCATCTTAAGAGCATGACACAGTACTTTTCAAAGGCAACCTGCCAAGGGCCATCTTGACAAGTGTTACTTGGGTCGCATTTCCAGGCTTTCTCACCATGCCCAGGTACTTCTCAATCCTGACCATCAAGCCACTCTTTTGTTCTGTACTGGCAAGAATGGAACGCAGGGCCTTGAGAACCTGTCTCTACTACTGAGCTACACCCCAGTCCAAACTGCTCTCTTTTAAGACCTCATTTTGTCAACATCTTGTGGTTTTCTTTTCTTCCAATGTTATTAATGGTTAATCATTAACAAAAACTGCTTCAGAAATGTAAGCCCCATGTGGTCATTGCCTTGCTTCACTTGCCAAGCGGAGGGGTGCTTAAAGTAGCGCCTTGGAGATGTAGCCCCTACAGCTGACTCTCCTCAGAGTCGGGGCAAGAGTAATAGGCTCTGAGAGTTTGCCCAAACCAACTGTTATGGTTTGTGTCTAGATGCACTCATAGAGTTTTTTCGGTGGTGGCTTAATCTAAGAGTATGTGATTGATTCGTAGTGCAATGCTGGGATTAAAGCATGCTGGGATTCAGGGTATTCACCTGCCCTAGCGAGGGTATCCTGGGTACAATATAAAGGATAGAAAAAGGCTTGTTCTCTCTCTTCCCTTGCTTGCTTTTGCTGTATTCTGTTGCCATGAACCACTTATCTGCAATGCCCCTCTGCCAAGCCATCTTGCCTTGGACCCAGCCAATTATGGACTGAAACCTCTATGGACTGTGAGCTAAATAAACCTTTTACCTTTTAATTTTGGGTGTTGGGTATTTTGTCTTAGCAATGAGAAGGTAACTAAGACACCAACCTAATGGGGGCGACAAAGAGAAAAACACTCTGGGCTCAGGCTGTCACTCAGTGGTACCGCGCTTGCCTGGCATGCTCAAGGCCCTGGGTTCAATCCCCAGGAATGAAGGGGGAAAAAAGGAGAGACAGAAACGGGCCCTACAAAGCACCACTGGATGCCATGAAGTTTCAAGGGCTGAGCTGAGGGTAGCGTCACAACTCAGGGCTGCTTCTCAAAAGAGCTTGGTTACAGGAATATGGATGGGACAGGCTCCAGTGCCTCAACAGGAGCTGTTTTCTTTGAAAAGTTAATTGTCTTTAGTTTCTTCTCATATCTGAGATTTGTTGAGAATGCTTCAAAGAATTCACTGGGGAAATGCAAATGATCTTGAAACATTTCTTTATTTCTGTCCTAGTGGATTAGATGTTTATTGATGTGTCACTGTTTCATGATTCTATTCGACAGTTAAAATGGCTTGCTCAGAGGCAGTACGCAGGACAGCAACAGAGAACAGTGTCTCTTCTGTGAGACACTGCTCATTTATCATATCCAAAGGAGCCTTATCTCTGTGACGTAAACCTTACTTGGCTGTTCAGTTTCCGATTATGAAAATTAAATTTCAAGATGAAAAGATTTAGGGAAAAGGAAACAGTGCTTGGTACTGAATGAATAAATGAACAGTACTGGGTCCTCATGTGTCAGTGGCTTTGGGTATCATTTTGGCAGATCTACAACATGATTTTAATTGGCTTTATAAAGCTCAGCACCTTCTGAAAATTCATAATTCCATTTTGCATTCAATTTGCATTTTCCTTGCACTGTTTGTTTAAATTTGTCAATGACTGACTTACAAAGGCTTCCTCAGTAAGCAATGTTGTCGAGAGAACAGTTCTGCGGTAACTAAGTGTTTAGGTCACTGATTCATTCATATTTTCATATGGCTACAACTTTCACTCCCTGTACAACCATGTGAGACTCTGGGGACTGGGTTAACAAGGAACCTTTGTAACCTAATCATCCGTTTCCTTTCTCGTGCCCTCGATCACGGCTAGCCTTAAGTTTCTAGAGGCAGAAAAGTATTCTAATCAGCAGCTGTGAATCTCCTGGAAAGTTTTGAAAACATGAATTAGGCTGTTCAGAGCAGGTTATGCACAGGCAGGCACCCCACCCCAATGCAGGTAAGCAAAACCAGCTCTTACCTTCCCCGGGCCCATCATTTTCCCCATCACAGAAACCTATAAGAAAAAGAACAGTGTTACATGACTTTCATTTTCATTTATTCATGAATTCATAAATTTCTGATTTGAAAAAAGACTTTTTAAATTTGAAAGCAGTTTTGATACACGGAAGTTCATTCAAGGTGTGTTAATATTTGTGTATACTAAAAGTAGATGCAGTTATTTCGAGTCTAGAGTTGGTGCCAATCTGCTTTTCTTTCCCTTTAAAATTGTCTGTCTTAAATTTCCTTACTGCCTCTGTCTCGAGAGAAAAGCAACTTCAGCAAGGCCTGAGAATCTTCAAATCACAGAGCACAGAAGAGGCCTGAAACGCGCCCCCCTTTGCTGTTTCCTGGGCAGAGCCCGAGTCACTGCGGACAGCATGGGTGTCACAGGAACAGGCTGGCAGCTCCAAGCTGGAGGCTGTTTCCTGTTACTTATCTGTATCTTGCTCAGTCAGATTGTGTATCTGGACTCTAAGTCAATTTAAAGGGCGTATGTGATAGCTATTCGCAAAGTTTTAAAAAATCTGACTTGGCAGACGTTCTGGCTGAACAAAGAATATTTAATCAATAAAGTATCCTACAGATGACAAAGTATAGAATTTCCTATCCCTCTAAGCTAAAACTAAAGAACTGAGCCAAGAATCTAACATCTTACCATTCTCCTTGGGTCACTTTTTATTCCAAATGAGTACAGAATCAGGCCAAAATTTTAATTGTAAGCCTTTAAATATAACTTACAGTTTAGACAAGTTTCTTGGTAAGGTTAAACTACAGATTAACCTAATTAGTTCATAAAAATTAAATACAGTTATCTAATAATTTTCCATCCAATATATATTTACTAAGCTCTTGCACTAAGTGTTGGTGGGAGGCAGGTGACCCAGGGTAGAAGAGAAGACAGACATGGCAGGAAATCCCATAACCCAGGTAGAAGATACAAAGTCTTCACGGTGCCTTGAACAGATCCGTAAATGGAAGCACACCTGCAAAGCCAGAGTTTCTCTCAGTCCCACAGAAACAGAATCTAAACAGTAATCAAAGAGTTTAATTTAGTGCATGTAAAGACCATTTGGGTGAGACTGATAAACTTCAGATTCTTAGGTCCAATTCTCAAAGACGCTGACTCAGAAGGCTTGGGAATTGGCAGAGGAATCTACACCTCTTATAACACCTCGGGGACTCTTCTGCAGACACCTGGGTCCGCTCTTCTGAGAGACTTAGATAGGGCTGTGGCTTGGGCCGTGTGAACAGGGGAACATTAGAAAGCAGGGTGCACCCAGACAAAAGGTGTGGCTCTACAGTCAGCACTGCCCAAATGAGAGCAAAGAAATTCCCCACTCACATTTTAGAGCGGGGAAGTTGACCATTCTGATCAGTAAAATGTGATTATCCTATTCAAATATAAAAACTAAGCTTTACATGGCAGTTTAGCACAGTTAACCGATTCCTCTGTTGAAGCATCTCATCATCAAGACCACTCTAGGTTTAATCATTAAATCTAGAGTAGCCCTGGAACATGGAAACTCAACCAGGGGCCACCATGTGAAACTGTGCAGAGGCTGGGCAACCCCCATAACATCCATTAGTGCCCCTTCTCATCAGACTGGACAGAAGGCAGGTATGGAACCTGCGGCAGGCACTGCGGGACACAGGGAAGGAGAGTACAGCCAGTGTTACTGTTTGCTTACCATGTGCCAGGCACTTCACACAGATGGCCTCACGTTAACCTATGGGTGGCGGGCACTGTTATCATGGCCAAGATCACACTGCTAGCTCTAGGGCTAGAACTCTGGTGTGGGTATCTTCAGAGGGGCCATGCCCCTAGCCAATTTGCTGTACCCAGAGGAACTGAGAAAACTGGAAGTAAGACGGAAGGGGATGCCCCAGTGAAAAGACAGGAAGAGGAAGAGGAGGAGGAACGGGGAAGAGAGGAGGATGTGCATGGCAGGGAGGGCACCGTGTGGCTACAGCACTAGATGGGCAGGATAGGAGACAAGCAGGGGTGGAGTGGGCTGGGAGTCGAGGTTTGGGTCACAGCTCAGCTTTCCAGGCTGTTCCTGCGCAGATGTGAGATGGACTGAAAGCGAAAAGCATCAAGGCAGGGAGACCACGTAGAAAATCAATAAAATGGTCAGGCAAGGAGGAACAAAGTAGGTGGCAATGAGGCAAATTTGAGAACGCACAGAGACAGGATAGGCAGAATGTGCTACACTTGTGGGTGTAAGGGCCAGGGGAACGAGGATAATTAAATATTATCCTCGTAGTCCTAGGATTACGCCTCAGACATCAGAGGATGGTGGCAGTGATAACTGATGTTAGCACTAAGCTAGCACATAATCAAAACATCCAAGTTGGATTTTTCCTACTGGTTTAAAAAAATACCAGAAGATACAACTATAAATAAAGAGTTAAAAAACAAAAAAGGAACAAGTTGTGACTGGGCACTTGGAAACAGAGGAAATTAATTCACATTGCTCCCATGGGGGATGGGACAAGGATGACCAAGGTCGCATCTGTGTTCCAGGAACACAGGGTCACGGAGGACTGACCTAGCTGAGCACGTCTGAGACCACATTCCTCCTATGCACACCCCTGCCTGGCAGGTCTAAAATAACTCCCTGCCTGGGCCCCTGATGCAAAGTGGAGGAGGCGGTGAGGGGTGGACCCCTCTACCAGAGTGTGTCCTGAAAGAAACCTCTGGGATTTCAGCCACTCTGTCCTGGGCCCTCTTGTCACCCCTGTGACCTCTCCATCCCTCTTGAGAACTGAGATGCTTAAGCGAGCCAAACAAGAGTCCTTAACAGGCTCACGTCTCCCAGAGTTATTTGCATTTTAAATCACTCCCTTGACTGCAGGCCAAAACTTAGTGCAGGTTGGGGGGTCATGGAGGTACATGTCCCTGCCTCCAGAGGAGGAGCCAGGGACTGCAGTCCCTACAGATGATAGTCAGCAGCTAGCATTCTGAATGGGGAGAATACTCTTTGGCTCTTAGCCCCAAGCTGTGGGACAGGCTTGCACATCTTGTCTACTAAATGGCACTTAAGAAGCACATGCTGCCCTGTTTTTCTTTATAGGTTCTTGGACAGTTAAACAAGAGAAATTATAAGAATCTTGTTTGGTTGTAGAAGTTTATTTCTGTCATTTACAACTTATCATTCATGCCTAATTGTTGTTTGACTCAACAACCATGATAAAAATTACTAAACATGCATCAAACTAACGGCTTTATTTTCTGGGGACACAAACCGCCGCTCACGAATGCATCACAGTTTACTGCTCCTGTGGCTCAGCTGTGAGCAGATGCTCCCTTGTCATCGCTCCTAACAGTAACAGCAGCGGTGTGGAATTCCACTATAGCCGGAACGGCTCCCAGGAAAGCATGGGTGTTATCGTTCCTCCTCCAGAACCTAGGCCTGGGCTTCTACTGTAATTTCCCATCACTTTGAAAATCTTTATTTGGTTGGTCTTACAACAAGAAATACCTTTTTGTGAAGCTAGCTGGTATTTTTAAAATTCAAAAGGAAAGAAAATGAAAAACTTTAATGAATTACAGGGGGAAAATGCATAAAGCTATTTAAAATAGCTCCCACCAACAAATATAATTCTCCATAAATAATTCCCATCCTTGGAGACTTGAATAATATTTTAAACACACTGGCTTTCCCATGTAAACACATCCATATTTGGGCATGTTTCTGAGTTCTGCAATCCCTGCACAGCAAGAACAGACTGGCACACGGGCCAATATCTGAGCAGAGCTGGGTTGGACACTTCCATGGGTGTCAGACATTGTGACCCGACAATTTCTAACTGCTGATTTGCAAAGGAGAGGCCACCAAGATTCTCAGATCAGCTAGGAACTCTGGTCCAGGATTTCCTCTTTTTGTTGTTTTTGAAGACAGGGTCTCACTATGTAGTTCAGGCTGGGCTTGAACTCACTATGTAGCCCAGGTTAGCCTTGAACTCACAGCAATCCTATTGCCTCACCCTCCCAAGTGCTGGGATTACAGGTATGCCCTGTAAACTTTTTTTTCTTCCTTTCTTAATCCTCTGTCTGCCTGGATCAACTTTTATGCTCCTTTACTTTTCTTATTCATCCTCACACCTCCTGCTATTTCTCACTTCTTCCCTCAGAGGCCACACCACTCAGCATGAACACTTCAGGTAACCACCTTAGCAAGTCTCAAAGCCTCCTTAACCTGCTGGTTCCCTTGTTCTCTCTAGGCCTTTGGCCCCTTCTGAAGCCCTACTCCACCTGCAGACCCCTCCACTGAGCACAGGCCCCGCGTTGTCAGGCTTTGTGTATGTACCCCCCGCCCCAGTCTGCAGCAACCTGCTCTGTCCTCCCTGACACCCCCACATCTATAAGCAGTGAGCACCGCCTCACATGCAATTCTGGCGCCTCTGCCCACATATTCTCACAGCCTCACGCTGGAGGAAAAATGGGCAGATGTCCCTACCCAATGCTGAAAGCTCTCAGACTCCACAAGCAAATGATCATGTAAACGAATGGAGTCTTCCCTGAACTGCACTCCGGGAGCAAATACAGCAGCTGTTATCATCAAATCCCATCCGTCCTCACACAAAGAGAAGTGACCATGAACATTCCCTTCGCAAAGAACAGAGATTAGACTTTAAATAGTCCAAGAAGTAAAGAAAACCAGAGAAGCTGGTATCTCGATCAATGATTATTCTCAATCCTTCCAGGAGTCAATCTGTATATGAAACAGGTAACTCCAGACTCTTGTCCTTTGTAGATTATAAACACCAGAAATGCAGGTTTCGAAGGCCTCTGGTTTCAGGTGCATGTTATACGTCAGCACTCAGAGTGTTTTAGCAAGAGCTCCCTACATACAAGCCACTGCATTATGTCCTTGTGTTTCTCCATCAGTGAGGGGTCCTCTGTGCCAGGCACTGTGTTAGGTGTTGGAGAAAACAAGACCAGTAGTTAAGATGCTATCTTTAAGAAATCTACCCTAGTCAGGCATGAAGGTGCACACCTATAGTCCCAGTGCTCAAGGAGGCTGAGACAGGAGGATCCCAAATTCGAGCCCAGCCTGGGCAATTTTGCAAGACCCTATCTCAAAATAAAAGATAAAAAAATGGCTGAGGACATAGATCAGTGTGAAATCCTTGGGTCCAATTTCCCAGTCATGGAAAAAAAAGAAAGAAATCTACCCTAAGCCAAGGGAGACAAATACATCTCCCAAAGAAGCAGTCAAGTGTGGCAGATCCTAAGAGCATCTGCACAGTAGTTGGAACACAGTAGTTTGAATCAACACAGGGTGAAAGGCCAGAGGGACAGAAATGTGGACACCAGCTGAGGCTGACAGACACTGGCCAAGTAGGATAGGACTGAGTCATAAGAAGAAGATACATGAACAGGCTGGAAGAGCAGCAGAACCCAAGTGGTTCACACAACTGAAGAGCAGGAAAAGAGGGACAAGGGCAGGCAGGGGCCAGATCCTGGGGCACACATGGCTCCTAGAAGGCTGCACCCCTTCCCCTGGAGTCAGGAGGTAGCACTGAGGGTCTCAACATGAGAATGAGACGTGCAGAACCAGTTTCACTCTGGAAGTACATGGTGGGAGGGGCACGAGGCTGCCTTCAGTCCACTCTCTACTCCTGGCCCCGCTCTACTGCCTCATTCGAGCCCAGGGTAGATGGGATGATGCCACCTCTCCTCCTCCACTCTCTCCTGTGCCCCTAGTCTCCCAGAGAACCGCCCCTCACTGGCATGGGCTACCTCATTCTGGGGTTCAGTCACAACTGCTCCTTGGACCCACAAGAGGAGCACTTTCCTGTAGCCTAGTCTTACCGAAAGAGGACGCTGGGGAGCCCACCAAATAACTGGAGGGGGCGGGTAGGAGGCTGGAGAGAGGGACAGTAATGAAGCCACTGTGAGTGCCCAGAAAAGGCGGTGCATGGGCAGGGAGGAAGCGTGAGGGCCCAGAGGTGCCCACAAAGGAGCGCTCGCCGGCGAAGAAGCTGGGAAGACATTGCTCCTAACTTTACCTCAAGTGTGCACCCTCCCTGCCCTGGGCTTTCCCCCTAAAGGCCATCAGAGTGGAGAAGGCTGAGTCCTCCATAAGCTTTGCTCTCTCGAGTGCTGCAGGCAGGGACTGTGCATCTTACCCATGTACGGGCCAGGCCAGGCCGATGGGCCCCCTCCTCCATAGGGGTCCTGGGGCTTGGTGCTCAGTGCACTCGTGTGAAGAGCAGAATCGGAATTGGTCCTAAGGAGGAAAGGAGAGATCTGGCTGAAAAGCCCTTTCCTCAGTGACACGTAGTATTCCTTGTTGAATATTACCCACAGAGAAGGCAGCAAGAATTGGGACTTACAATCACCCACACAAAGACGGGAGGGAGCTACCTGAAGTCACTTACTTGCAAGGTCATCACACCAAGGAAGACTGGTTTACACTCAGACAGCCTGACACTGAAGCAGATGGCATGGCACTGTGACGGCTAACTGCGATATGTCAATCTGGATAGATTAAGAACTGCCAGCAGATTGGTAGAGCATAGTTGTGGGCACGTCTGCGGATGACTGACCAAGACACTGCAAGCTTCAAAGGGAAGACCTGTCCTGAAGGTGGGTGGCACCAACCAGCAGGTTTGTAGCTTGGATGGCAGGTGGCCATTCTGCATTCTTGGTTTTTTTATTTTATTTTTTTGGTCTTTTTTGAGACAGGAGCTCTCTATACAGTTTAGGCTGGCCTTGAGCTCACTTTGTAGCCCAGGCTGGTCTCGAACTCACAATGATCCTCCTGCCTCAGCCTCCCGAGTGCTGGGGTTACAGGTGTGTGCCACCACACCCAGCATTTTGCATTCTTTTACTCCTGACTCCACAGGCACCCACTGTGGAGCCTATCTTTTTCCTATATTAAATCTGTGAACCCTAGCTGATAGCAACCATCTATTTCAACCAGAAGGGCCGTGGAATTACGCCTTCCCTATAGGGCCTTCTTTTTTTTCTTCACAAGTCAGAAGATGGCTGTGACAAGTATGACTGGTGGCTACACCAGGTTTTCTACACCTGAGAATACCTGGTCCTCTGGGAAAGACCACCCAGAATGGTGGTTCTCAAATACTTCTGGGACAAGGCAAGGTCAAGGCTACTTTCAAAATAACACTACAGTGTTCCTCGCGTCCCCCAACCCTGTGTGCCCAGAGCACAGTGGGATCCGATCTCCAGCACCCACATGGCTGACACCACCCTAGACCGAGAGTGGAGTAGAGAAGTCCATTGTCTTCAGGAGTTTTGGAAAATGAACAACAACGTGACTATTCTTGTCCTTTTTTTAAAAAAATAAAATTACACTTCTTTAAAAGAAATATTAGTTAACATGTAGTGAGTTGACTGTTATTTTTGAACACATTAGCAGTCCTAAGACAAGTCTGGGAACCCCTGATCAGTAGCAAACTTCTAAAACTCTCCCAGATGGCTCTAGGTTATACACAGGCTTGGTCCCGTGAACAACTGTTTATTTACATCACCTGAGAGCCAAACTGTGTGTCATAAGAAGGGTGTGTGAACAGCTCTGTCAGCCTAAAATGTTTCTTTGTGGTCCATTCCAGGTGACAGCCTCATGACTGCTAAGCCCAGTGGCTTCAGATAAGGAAAGCAGCCAGCAAGAGAAGGCCTTAGAGCTGCCCTAGAGGGACCACAAGCTCCGGGAGCAGGCGCACGAGTGCAGCACCAGCATCTCTACAGATTCAGGGGCACATCAGTCACACACAGAGACAATCGGGCAAGTGTGGGTACAGATTGGTATTAGACCATAGGGAATTACAGTTAATTTTGTTAAGTGTAATAATGGCATTCTGGCTATGTTTTCTTTTTACACTTGATCTTAGCCAAAAGGCTGAGAAGTGATATATGTTTTCTTTTTGAAGGCTCTCATCAGCCTTGCACTCTCAGAGATACTTGCAGGTAAACTACAGTGTGGAATTAGGATGTGAGGTAGGGGCAAGGAAAAAACAAGACTGGCAGAATGGTGGTCAAGGCTGAAGTTAAGGCACAGGCCCAAGGGGCTTTCCACAATCTTCTGTCTTTTCTGTATGTTTAAAATTCTGCACTGTTAAGAGTTTTTGTGGTTTTTTTTAAAATGCCCAGTCAGTCCCTTCACATATCAGCTCAGAAGCCCTGAACAAGTCATTTAGCCTCTTCAAACAGAAAATGACACGCATTTCCGCAGTGTACTGTAGGACTGAAAAAACTGATGCAGGAAGAACACTCACTCCTGGAGTGTGGCCCAGTGTGATCATGAGAACAGCTGATGTTTACTGAACACTTACGCTTCCCATGTATTACCTTGTTCAGTCCTCATAACCAGTCCATGATGGACACAATTATCTCCAATTTTCAGATGAGCAAAACTAAGGCATATAAAAGTTTAACCTGCTCAAGGTTATGGTAAGTGGTGACCGTACTCCAGGCCTCATATTCTTATGCTGTGCTGTACTGGGCCCTGAACATCAGTAAATGGGGGTTTGTTGTTAACACTCCACACAAACACAGCCAACAAACACACTTGGTAGCTGGACAACACATCCAGAATATCAGGACAACCAATTTACTTCCTTTTTTCCTTTTTTTGGTACTGGGAATCGAACTCAGGACCTTGTGCTTGCCAGGCAGGCGCTGCGCCGCTGAGCTACATCCCCGGCAACCAATTTACCTTTATTAGGAAATGGCCCATGTACCTGTTAAGAGCAGACGTTAATCTGAACCCAGGATGCTTTTCTTCTTTCCAAGGAGGCTGCTGCCTTTAGAAGCCAGAACAACATAAAAGGAAGAAAAGTTCAATCCACAGGAGCAAAGGAAGACTTCAGACCTGAGTCTGTGAACTGGCTCTTTACTCATGCAGCTGCCTGACCTCAGTCACTCAAAAACACACCGTGCTCATTTTGCTCTTCATTGTTCAAATGAGGCCAGACTGAACGAGTTCTCAGCGCCTGGCATCTCTGATTTCCAGGATTATTACCACAAACCCTCAGAACAGGGTTACTTACCTGAGTATGCAGGAGTTAACAAACAGGCAAATAAGCACCTCCGGATGTCTTTTGAAATTGGCCAAATCTGACTCCTCTCGAAAGGATTTGAGGTCTTACACCAGATGTGTCAAAAAGTTACTCCTTATATGTAGCTTAGGTGCATGTGTAGGGGCTGCCTTAGCAACCTGGATGCAAGAATTCTGACACTTTCTTGACTATACAAAAGAAAGCTATCAGTTTAAAACTAACACTTTTTCTGATTTAAGATAAAATATTGTATTTATCTATCTGAAAAACTTGAGTGCCAGCATTCTTGAGGATAGCTGAAAACCTACTTCAGGCAGGGGCCAACTCTTTTCCATTTCTGTGTCCTTCCCCAGCCCATACTAAATTGTATGGTGAAAGTGCTCATCAGTTTTTGCCCAGAGAATAAAAGGAAAAAAGATCCCAACCAAGAGACCTGAAGTTTCTTGATAGATACATCACAGATACTCACAAATCTGAGCATGTGATCTGAAAGTGACACGAGAACAGTGCAACAGTTCTTTTCACTTAATTTCATATCTGTCATCATTTATACTGGGCTCAAAAATACTGAAGAGACTCTAAATCAAACACTGCATGAACACCATTTTAGGAGCCTTTCATTCCTTGTAGTAGTTTACTAATACACCCTGAGGAAAGGGGTTTATTTTTCCATGTCTCAAATATACATCAAACCAAAGTATGCTGTTGGTAAATACATTCCAACTGGGTTTCTATTTGGTTTTAAGTACGAAGATCTAGATTTACTTGTAAATTTTTCACTTTGTACTTTCATACAAGCCCATGAAAATACATAAAAAGATTTAAATTTTAGGAATCAATAGATTGTTTTATACTAAAAATTTCTAAAACAACATTCAAGGTAGATAGAGTGAAACCATAATAGGAAAAAGCTCGTATCTTTTAAGATAGCTTTGAAATATGGCTTGCTTACCTTGGCCAGCTCTCATCCAGGGGCTGTGAAGAGTAATTGGCTCCAAATGTACTACCGTCAAAGTAGAATTTTTAATAAAGGAAAAATAAAATTAATGGAAACTTGAAGCAGAGTTAAGAGGCTACAATTTGTGAAGAGTTAAGACAACTGAGGTCTGGGTTCTCACCTCTGTGTCTACACCCGACAGCTCTATCTGAGGCTTACTCCACCGACTTCCTCAGGAGAGCCTTCTGCTGTCATCTAACCAGTGCTGCCTTTACACAATGGATTTGGGGTGCTTATTTTTTTTTTTTTTTTTGCCTGAACAGCACCTTTTGTTTTCCCATCCCACACGCGGCAAGGCTGTCATTCTGCACAGGCCTCCTGTCCCATGGTCACACCAAGCCCAGTTATTTCCAGGCAGGCCACCTCATGCCCCTGGAGGCGGTGATTGGCCCAGGGTGGGCTCAGACAACCAGGAGCCAGCTGAGCACTCCCCAGGGAAAGCAGTGCCCCTTCGGGGTGGAGAGTCCACAGGCTATTTCAGTACTGTCTATGGGAAACTTGTCTATGGTGAAGTCAACACAGTGTGGCACCAACAGAGATAGAGTCTATGATATGACATGACTCCTTGGATCTAGTCCTTGGCTTCTAGTGACATAAGCCAATAAATTTCCTCTTTCCAAGTTCAGGTGAGTTCCTGTTACTCATCATCAAAAGACAGCTGCATTGAATTTGTGGAGAAATGTAAACTTCCTGGTGTTGTTAAAGGCTCTGTTTATAAATTCTGTATCAGTCACTGGGTCTAGCATAGGATAGAACACATTCCAGACACACACAGAAGCCAGGGGAATGCTGCACAATACACGATGAACACAGGATGCTGTCTGCACTGATTTATATATTCATACTTATAGAATTGTCTTAAGGTATTATTTTTATTTTTTGGTGGTACTGGGGATTGAACCCAAGGCCCTTGCACTGAGCTACATCTCCAGACTTGTTAAATTTTGATTTAGGTTCTCGCTAAATTGTCCAGGCTGGGCTTGAACTTGCCATCTTCCTGCCTCATGTGCTAGCATTACAGGCATGTGCCACTACTCATGGCTCCAAGACATTTGTAATCATATTATTCTTTTACTAGAAACTCTTTAGCTTTGTACAGTGGCGATATCATAGCCAATGAGGTTTACCCAAGGTGCACTTATTACTAATATAAAAATCTTTGGTGATTCTCTTCTGCCTGAAAGGCAATGGCACCTTTGTTGGCCTGCTAACTGTGCTCCACAATTTGGCTACAAGGTGCTGATCTACGCTCCTCCCAACTGCAGCAGATCTAGGTTCCACATTGACCCTGCCCTTTCCTGCCTCTTCACTTTTGCTCCTGTCATTTTCCCCTTTTTCTCCTAGGTGGAACACAGCCTCCCTCAAAGCCCTGCTCACTTCCTATCACTCTCATCAAATCCATACCCACTCTTAGTCTCCTACATTACTGTTAGAGAAAATGTGTTTGGCAGGTACCAATAATGCTTTGATCCCAAACCTTTATTCCTTAATGTAGAAATCATAAAGATGATACAAGGTATATATTAGGCATCAGAGACATGAAAATCCAGTGGGTGTGGTGGTGCATGCCTGTAATCTCAGCACTCAGGAGGCTGAAGCAGGAGATCACTGGGAGTTTGAGGCTAGCCTGGGTGACATAGTGAGCTCAAGGCCAGCCCAAACCACACAGTAAAACCCTGTCTCAAAAGGAAGAAATATGAAAAATGGATAGAAGCACCTACTATAAGTCAGGCCTTTCCTGGTAAGCCTGAACTCTCATTCCATTCTAACAACGATCCTGGAAGGCAGATGATATTATCTCCCACTTTACAGCTGGAAAAACTGAAGATCAGTCCTAGAAGAGTTGACAAATCCAAGATCACAGAGCTGGCATGGCAGGTCAAAGTGACAGCCAGCTCAATGATCACAAAGCTCAAGGCTCTGCACAAGTCACACTGCTTCTCAAGAAACAAGGCACTAGCCCTGAGTCCCCACGAGACAGAAAATATTTCTGAATATTTTTGGAAAGATGGGGTTTAGAAAGAAAAGCTCTAGTGGCTTGGGCTAGGAGGAAATGGGACCTACAAGCTTGGTCTGGGAATCTCAAGTGGCTACAGAACCTGGAATTAGCAAATGTGGGCACTAACAAGATCTTATGGATTTAGTGTAAACCATTTTCTTTGCCAGAAGAAGCATTAGGATTGTAAGCCTCACCTAAAGTTTACTTTCTCTGTCTTGTCTCATTATCTTACTTCTTAATCTGAGCCAGTACAATAAGACAGAAATATTTTCCAGGGGGACATTTCTTCAACTGTAACTATTAGGCTTCATGTATGTGAAGTACAGACTGGAATAGAACACATCACAGTAGGAGACACGAAAGAAAAAGGTGATAGAGAAATAAGGATGCCCTTGCGACTTGAAAGAGATCAGCATTTTAGCTGGCAAAGCCTTTAGGGAGGAGGCACTGAATCTCACAACCTGTGGTTATCTGCCTTCCTTTCTTCTGCAGGGCTGGATGAACCTCTGCCCAGAAAAGCATATTTCATGAAGCGGCTCCTCACCATTTTTCTCAGCGCATGGCCAGCCTTACAGTCATGAAGTCCATTCATGAGAGGACTTCATACCGCATTCAAACAAGGAGAAAGTGGTATCACGGTAATATAAGGATCAAACATTCATAATTCAGTGCTGAGGTGTAAGTTAGCACTTTAACCTTCCTGATACATATTAACAAGAAAATGTAGTAAATTCCTGAAATTTTCCACTTAATTATTCTAAGGTATTAAAAGTTAAAAGACCTGACCTTTGAATGCTCTTATTTCTTCAGGTCCTACCTAATTTGATGAATTTTCTAAAACCCAACAACCATGGACACCAAAAGACGCCACTAGTACAAGCTTACAATTAAATTCAACAAGAGGAAAACCTACACAAGGTTTCTTCCTGTTCCTTTAAAAGAGTTCAGAAACTTGTATTCAGGTAGGTGTAAATTTCTCCGCCATACTGAAATGACCTCAGGGCAGAAAACACCTTCATTTGTAAACTTGAATTTGCTATTTAATTCAACAAGCAATTCTGGAATGCCGGCTAGGTGACAGCATACAGACAGACAAGACCCGCTGGACACAGAGTCCTTAACAAGCCACTCTGATCCCGCCTGCCTCCTTGGGTAGTTAAGCTCAGCTAGTTGAACCTGAAAACAGAGGACAATGAAAAAGACAAGTAAGGGAGAGGTGGCTACTGTGGACGGAAACAGAAAGGTCCAGATGACTATGGACCATCATGTGTGCTCTTCTGCAACAAGCTCAGAGGCTCTGCTCCTCTGTGGCCATCAGGATGCCCCTCACAGGCTCTGCCCACAGCTCTCTGCACTGCTCTCCCAGGGAAAGGATGGGAAGAAGGGAGTCGGAGTCACTGAGTACCAGGCAGAGTAGGAGTGGCAAGAGATGAGCCTCTGGGCACAAACATACTAGGAAGAATATCCCTGGAAACAGACAGCGACCTCCCACGGGCAGAAAAGCCCGTGGGCCATCATATTCCTTGTAATCAACTCCAGCTCGCCTTGGCTCCAGTCCAGCAACTCACAAATCCTTGTCTTCGGCTTCCAATAGTTCTTGTGAACCCCAAGCTATTATTTCCAACTGCCTGCTCAGGTCCTCCTCTAAATATATACCAGACACCAAGATTCCCCCTAAAATCAAACTGATCACCCCTCATCCTCTCGCCTGCAATCTGCCACTTTTATGCTCCATATTACTTAAAGGGGGGCGTCATCCACCTACATGCTCAGTTGGGGTCTCAGGGTCATCCCAGTCTGTCCACTCTCTCCATTGGTCAGCAGGGGGAGTTCGATCCATGGACTACAAGGATCCAACTCCTCACAACTCACAGTCCAGGGTACGTCACAGGAGACAGCATGCACTCCTTCCCCAGGCAAAGTGGAGCAGCTCTTCTTTGATTCAAGAGGACATCTGTTGGCCAGTTATCCACGGGTGTGTGTGTGTACGTGTGTGCATGTGTACACGCATGCACACGCACACCAGAAGCACCAAACAAGTTCCACCTGGTCTTTGTGTAGGGCTGGGTTCTTCTCTTGGCTTCCTGTCTCTGTACAGCAAGCATACTCGGGCAGGGAGTGTGGAGGCTGGCCACTTTCTATCCCACTCTCCCAGCTGCTATCTGCTGTCAGGACACGGTGTGCAGGGCAGGCCTGTGACCTTCTGTGCAGCCAGGGGTAAATAGACTTGGAATCTGCTTGATAGAACACATCTACCCAGATACATTCTTTGGTCAGATTTAACGTATAAAACTGCTCACAGGCTGGGGATACAGTTCAGTGGCACAGCGCCTGTCTGGCAAACACAAGATCCTGAGTTCAATTCCCAGTACCAAAAAACTGCTCACAGTGTGGTTCCACCAAATGTCTCAGCCATTACCTTAATATTACTTTATGTCCTCTAGTCCCTTAACCTCTAATTATGTCCCTGCAGATTACATATTAAAGTTAAATTTTAAGAAAGGTAGGTATGACTGGGATCTGTTTGAGTCTTTTTGTTTTCCTGTTTCTCTCAGCATGCTGAGTGGCAAACAGGTGGCATGTATAATATTTTTTTCTTAAAAACTCTAAAGACCAGTAGTTCCTTATCCTTCAAGGATATGGTTGTTAGATAAAAACTGGATTTTGTGATCACATAGGTTTTGGAAATCCTGGGTTAAATGTAGAAGGCTTACTTAGCATAGTTGTCCTATGTGTTTTATATATTTTTTGGCAGGTAGTCTAGCTATTAATCTGTATATATGATAATTAACTATATAAGGACTTAAAAATAAATGAATCTGATGCTGGCAAAAAAGGGTAGAGGGACAAGGAGAAAAAAAGAATTGAGATGTGTTATGAACATGTACTAATTCCCCACAGTGAAAGTAATCATTATGTACTGTAAACATGTACTAGTAAAATAAAAAAATCTTTTTTTTGTTAAAGGTAGGAAGCTTATTATCTATGGGTCTTCTCCAAGCACCACAGTATACTGTGAGGCTCCAAGAGGGGACACAGAACACTGTGTTTTTCAAATTTAACAGGCCACGCATGTCAAGAAACAGTGTCCTACAAGTCAGTGCTCCAAAGTTTCAAAGCAAGGCCCACTCCAGGGAGGAAGGTCCTCCCTAACTCTGGCATCACTTTAGGGCCATCCCCACTAGTGAACCCTCCACTTTGTTGGCAAACTTCCTAAACATTTATTTTTCTCCCCTTCAAAATGCAGATCAGTTTTAGAAGAAGGCATTGTCTGTGATTATTTAGTTCACCTTCTTCTTTTCCAATGCGTTACCCACGGGTCTGAGAACATATTTCATTAGCTGCAAGCTTCTGGAAATAGTTCAGAAATTCAGCAAGATGGTTTTGGGGGTGAGCCATATTTACTGCCCTTAAGAGTGAGGAGTGAGCAGGGCTGCTACAGGCACAGACGCTGCAGGAAGGTTCACGAGCTTCTGCTCTGAGCTCCCCACCCAGCCTGGCCAGGGACAGGCACGGGACTCCCCTGCCCGCCTGTGGAGGGTGGGGCCTAGCGCTGGCAGTGCCCTGGTCTTGCTCTGGCAACTACTTATGCCACCAGCACCGCCCACTGCCCTGGCCATCTGCAGTGTAGCCGCCCACCGCCAAAGGAATCTCTGTGCCCAAGCTCTGCCTGCTGGGCTGCCCACTCTGGGAGGAAGCCTGAGTATGTGTGGAACAATGTCTGTTTTATTTGAGATCAATGTATCCCCAGGCTGAACTCTTATCTGAGCCCAACTAAAAATCATGCCCAAGCCAAGAAACAACCATAAACAAGAGAATTTTGTGTTTCCATATTTTTAAAAGATAAAATTTCATTAAAAGGTAGTTGACAAATGTGAAAGGCAATAATTTTAGGCAAATTATTTTACAACAAACAGAATGCAGGTCAAGAAAGAAAAGGACTCAGTTCTCCCCCTCCAAGTTCTCCTGAATAAGTAACACCTTTGATGTAAGATCACCCCACATTTATATTTCAGCTGGAGTGCATGGTCCCTTTATTCCTCAAAAGAGACTCACTGCTTCATTTGTTGGCATCCATGGGCCAAAGAACTTTCTCTGCATTGATACCCAGTGCCCAGACCCCAATTAGGGGCTTAGGAAGAGACCACAGAGAGATGGCTCATGACCTGTGAGTCAGACTCATACTCTTTGGTGAGCAGCTTTACCTGTGTATTCATTTGGAGGTGACGAGGTGTGCAGATGCTCTTGCAAGTGGATTCAGTCAGCCAAGGTGTCCCGAACACACACTGCCGTCTCCTCTCCTGGGACTGCGCACACTCTAGTCCCTCTGCCGGAGAACTCCCTTCATAGCTACCTACCTACCATCAGGTATCACAGTTCACTCTCCCTAATTATTATTGCCTTTTGGCTATCTGTTATCTCCCAAAAGGAGTGTCAGCTCAACAAGGTGGGACAATGTCCCTCTGGGCACCCTGGCTGGCTCAAGAGTCCCCTCCTGTGTGCCCACTGCACACCAAGGTGCCTCGGCCCCTGACAGCTCGTGTGAGACCACCACTGGCTTCAGCCTCTTCCCTAGAAGAAGTACAGGAGGACAGGGACCATGGCAGTCTGCTGTCAAGTCTACAAGGTCTAAGTCAGTGCCTGGCTGCTAGTGAATACTTCACAAACTATCTTTAGGTAAACAAACAACTCCTTTCTCTTTTCTTCAATTCCTCTATCTCCTACCGTTTTTGTTAATAAAGCTGTATGTGTGTATATATCTACATTTAGGCTAGACTTACATTAAAACATGTCTGTGATGGCCTGCATACAATACACCCCTATGCGTACAATACACACATATAGTAAAATATATAATATATAGAAACAGGCTTGACAAGAGAAAGAGGGAACTGAGAAATCAAAAAAAGGTATGTTGTTAAATCAAGAAAAGAAATACTGACTTTTGTTTGAAAATTCCAAGTAATTCAGATAAAGGTGAGTTAACTGAATTGCCTCAATCCCCTTTTACCTTTTACACTGTGTCTAAGTTATCACACATTCCAAAAATGAATTCTCAAGATCACTTACCACCTTCATTCTCCCTGCAAATGGTCACATAAAGTATGAAACTGCAAGGCAGGTACTCCTGTGGACTAAATACAATGTCTGTGGTAGGAGAGAGGGAGGAATCGGCAGTCCCCAGACCCTCATCCTCACCTCGGGAAGAGCCTCAGGGGTCTCTCTGTGTGCCCCCACGACCCCTCACCTGGCGCCTCTGTGTCCATGGCACTCACTACCCTGAACGAGTGGACAGTGTGGCCTGAGGAGCCAGGGTGCAGACCAGGCCGTCAGGGGCCTGGACCGAGACCAGCCTCCTCAGGCCACAGCAGCAAGACCCTGAGCAAGTCACTCTGATGCTCAGTTTCCTCACGGGAAGGTGGGGGTTAACAAAATAAACAACTCAGTGCGCTCTGAGGACCAAATGACATATCACTTGCTCATCGCAGTGCTTGGCATGGGTAGATGCTCAGTAAACACCAGCGCCCTCCCGCTTCCTGGTCTCTGGGCTGTGAAGCCAGCTTTGCCATCACTGCCAGGAATTCAGTCTCAGCAGGGAGAGGCGCCACGCCTCCCCTCCCCACTTCCCAGCTGTGGGCCAAGAAGGGTGAAGGGGAAGCGAAGGGCTCCTGGCACACCTCTGGGTCTTCTCCCACGATACCCAGCTCAGTTCTGTGTCTCCAGCACCCTCAGCTCTACATCTGTCACACAGCAGTGACCTCACCCCCACCCTGCCTCCCTGCTCCTCCGCTCCCCAGCACGCAACTGTTTAATAAAACTGTCACGAGTTTGCCGTCTCCTTTTCTTTATTGCTTCTTAGCAACATAGAGTTTGGTATCAAGTATACATCACTAGATAAGAATTTCCCTAAATTCCAAGTTTATATTTTGGTTGTCATTTATTGAGTTTGAAACTCTACAAATAGAAAATTGTAGGAGATTTCATCTTTAAGTTCCCAAAGCCAGGTCAGCAGGTCAACAGAAATAAAAATAAATCACAAATCTTGTCTATCTGTTTTTGCTCAATAGAAGAAATCTCACTTGATTTAATATCAGGCTTAACTCTGGCTTAGCTGATTTCTGAAGACAATGTTGAAATGCCTGACGATGGAGCTGAATTACACATTTATATTCAGTTATCTCATTAGAAACTTTATCGATGGTTTCATAAAGCAAACACCCACAACAGTCTTTCCAAATTTGGCCATAGAGATGTATCTAGTTTTGAGCTCATTTATTTTTATTGCCTCCATTCATCAGATAAAATGAAGATGTTGAGGCCACAGGAGAACTACAGGGATGATAAATTCTGAAAACCTTTCAAACACTCAAAACTCACATTGCCCTCAGACAGTGAAAAGGATATCTGCCGCCCCGGCTTGTCTGCGGGCCTTCGGTGCAGTGGGTGGAAGCGGTTCCTGGCTGGCCTCTCCACCAGCCCGTGGTGCCGGGTCCCACGGACATTGTCAGCCTGGTGAAATGATGGCTGCAGAAGAAAGAGAGAAGAGTTGGTCTCTGACCACAAAACTGCCACTCACTTTCAAGAACAACCACTCGTATCAACAGATGAAAAGACTCAATTTATAATTCTACTATTGTGTATTAGTGTGCCATGGGTGAAGAGAAATAATATAGCATGTAGCACAGTTTCTATATAATTATAGAATAATTTAAAAATAGTCTTTAGTGTATTAAGATGAAAGAATGATGTATAAAAGTTGTCACAGAGCTGGGCATAGTGGAGTGCTGTAGGGCAAGCTTGTAATCCCAGCACTTTGGTAGGGTGAGGCAGGAGGATTATGAATCCAAGCCCAGCCCAGGCAATTTAGCAACCTAGTGAGACTCTGCCTCAAAGTAAAAATTTAAAAAGGGCTGGGATGTAGCTCAGAGCAAAGGCCCAGGATTCAATCCCCAGTATTGAAAAAAAAAAGTTATCACCATTCGAATGGAGAACTGGAGGACTATGGATTCATATACCAACTCCCCAAAACTAGGAAAAATACTTGAAATATAAAAGAGGTGTGTTTAAAATATAAATAAACTGGCAACCTATTCAGTGTATACAGTGTCCTTTAAAAGTTTTGACTGGATTCACAACATTAAAATTCAGATTTGAGCCTTTTAGAAAAAAACCAGAACAGCCTGGCCACACTGGTCCACATTCCCACACGGCTATGGCTGCCCCTAGAGATGGGACACTCCTGTTTCGGTGTTTCGTTTTGGGTTTTGGTGGTAGGGATTGAACCCCAGGCCTCACACATACTAGGAAAGCACTCTACCACTAAGTTACACCATAAGACCTTTCAAAATTTTTATTATGAGATAGGGTCTTTTTTTTTTTTTTTTTTAAATTATCAATGGTTATTGTTTTACATATTGTTATCTACAAGATAGTTTCTCAGGAAAACAAACAGACAAATAATAGTGAGTTACAGACAAAAGAGGTAGGAGATTATCA